TGTACGATTGAGCGTTTATGTTCCTGTCTTAAAAAACTAGAGGCGATTTGCTTTCGACTGTTATGGCACCCCAAACGATAACGTCCTATCGCGAGCCTACAAATAAAAACAGTGTAACTAGAAACGACCCAATTCCATTCCTGTTATCAATGAACCCGTTCTTGAAATCATGCCAGACGTAACCGTAGCCCAAGTGTTCTCGTGGTTATTTGTAGATCCGTTGCTACCTGTCTCTCATGTATGATTCCACTGGTTGTGCTGAAAGAGTCTCTAAATTCATCAGTTCTTAGGAACCTTGCTTCGCCATCACTGGTTCATGATTGATGCCCCTATGTAGCGTGTGACGGCGATCATCACTGCCTTCCAGTGAATTATGTTTCTAATTCTTTTTAAAATATAGCTGTTCATTTTTTATGATAGTAACAGAAAGTAGGGTTATTTGCTAGCAGAGCGCGACAAAAAAATACCCTTTTATAACACTTCATGCAGGTCAACCATATACTAGTTGTCGTCAATTTCTATTTAACCACAGTTACCCTCTAATTAATATGTTTGCAATTTACCAGATATTTTTCTTAAACATTCGTTTGCAGTATATCTCTCATTACGAATCTTATTGTCCATGCACATTGGAAACGATGTCGATAACTATTTTCAGCTGCCTACCATTTTAGAGGATATGAAATTTAAATAAGTACATAATTAAATTACTCATTGTATGTATTGTTTACAAGAGGCCGTTGAACCACGTACTTTCCATAAATAATTGATAAGGCGTATCGCGGTAGTGTCACTTTTCCATTATTTCAATATACCGCCGTCCACTTTATATTTTACCTCTTGTTGCGAATAAAGGAATCACCACATACGAGTATATGAAACCCTTTGATCCATTTCGTCGGATTATAAAAGCAAGCGCGACACTGCCAGAAATAGTAATTTGTATTCGTAATTTTATGTATGTATCTATCAGTGTGGCATTCCTGGGATATTACGAATAGTTAAGGACAGTTAAGGATATATTCGATCTTGAACTTTAGTTAACATCACATTACAAGCAAGTTTTAAATAATCGCCCCTCATATTGACGCCCGTTCGAAAATATACAGGGTGTTATTGAAATAACGTTATATAATTGATTGAGCCAATCTCAGAGTCGAAGCACTAAAGGCAAAAATAGTGGTTATAGAGATTTCAGGGTAGTATTAGCGAAGCATTGTTTGAAAGATCTAGGATCTCTCGGCGAAATAACATAACTGCAAATGGCGTTTTTACAAACTAAGGGAGACCTCCGGCGGAAAAAATGTTAATCCATCGGAGAAATAAAATTCTTTTCATACCAGTTTCATGTTTGCGTTGTTTTTGTGTTTTTATTGTTAAGAAAAACATTTTATTAACGTTCGCGATTCAGTGCTTTGTCGATCGCAACAACAACTACACAAATTGCATTGTTGATAGGTGTCACTCAGAAACATTAAATAATAACAGCTTTTCATGTAAAATATATATTTTTTAATCCTACCGAGCACAGTTTATGAGAACTGCCCCAACCACCCCGAACAACTCCTTAAATTATATGACATCATTTCAATAACACCCTGTATATTTCGTGCAAAATGGTTCGCAACATCCGAGCTGTAAAAAAAAGCAAGAAAAAAAATACACACAGTCGTATGAACCAGATGATACGCCATTGGCAGACGGCCAAATTAAAAAAATGCCGGTGCTATTAGATCGGCGTCCCGATGGCGTCGGCGGCGTCGGCTATTTGCCGGCATACTCGTACCGACGATTGACTGCACGTGACTGCAATGACTGAGAGGATCGTTCGAAACGGAAAATATGTCACAGTCATTGTGGAGCGGGTCAATTATTATTTGTTCGTTTACTGATTTTTACGAAGGCGCTGAAAGGTCCCCAAAAATAAAAAATTGGCTTTAATTTTTCTGATATTTGAAAAATAATGCAGGATTCACGAAAAAAAGTCAAAATTTATAACCTAAATCAGAATTTTTATCGTAAGTACGGATTTCTTAAAATTATGTCAGAATTTCTGAAATACGGTCCTAATTTAGGCTCCAATTATAAGGTAGATTTCACTATTCGAAAGAACAGCTAGTTCGTAGTACGCGACGTTTCCAAGCCACAGCGTATTTAGAAATATTAATATACAGGATGTTTCACAACTCGCATTTTTCTTACAAACATCCTGTATTTATCTAATTATTTTATTTCTAAGAAAAAAGGTCTTTATAATTTTTTCTATTCTTTTGCGTAGTAACTGAGCCTCATTGTTACTTAAATTCTAACTTTTTTCAGAAATTCCGTTTTGATTTCTAGAAAAATTGAAACCTATATTTTATTTTTGTGGACATCGTACGCAATTGGTCACAGTATTCAAGTTCGTAAGGTATTGGGCTCTTAAGTTCTTGGTTTTGGTCAGATTCATCAGGTTTGCTGATGCACCTGCACCTGAATAGATAGCATGGTGTCATAAGAACTGATTGATTATAACTCACTTAAAATGAATTACTTAATAACTAACTTGTATCCGTCAAGATGCAGGTGTGATATTTCTTGGTTTAGGAATCATCTTAATTATTTTTCGCAAACCACAATTCTACCACTGTGTCTTGTATTTAAGATCTTCATTATTATAATTATATTAATTATTATAATTTTCGAAATGGACTTACCTGTTGTCATTATTATCGAGAAATCGTAATCATGATATTCAACTTCTGGTCATTAATTGTATAAAAAATAATTTTCTTTACTAATTGAATTGAGAAATTCAGAAAGGAGAAGGAGATCACATTTGGTAAATGCAAACCGTTTCATAAAGCTTAACGCATTGTTTAAATGGTTGCATACTTCGACGGCACTGTACGTTCTCGGTAGTAATACACTGATAAATGTTATCAAAGAATCCTATTATAAATAAATGACCAATCAACGTTTATTTACATAAAAATATAATAAGTGTTTGAATGTGCTCCGAGGCTCGTGAAACATGGGACAAATGAACACGAAGAGTAAAAGGACAGATCGAATTGGGTAAGTAATCCCAAATCCCAAGTTTCCTACCACTATGATTATTCGAAAAATTTATTCTGTTTAGTATTCAATATTTTCAAGCCGATCGGACATACTAATATACTATCAGATAATTGTCACCAAATGTTTTTTTTTATTAACACCAAAATAAGAATTTACAATCTGTTTTCATTATATAAACGTTATGATGCAAAAATAGTGAGATATAGAAGATATTTCCATTGAAATCTCCTCTCCCAAACTACATAGTTAGTTTTGGCAGCACCGCAACGATATCGTTTTCGAACAATTTTATTCTTATCTCGATCCAAATAAAAAATGGCGATTGAAGAAATAAAGCATTCTAGAAATGTAAAGGGTTAATTAGTACAAATTTTATTTTTTTATCAAGGCATAATACGTTACATATAAAATAATTAAAAATATTTCAGTTGATAAGATTTCCCGCAATCATTAATCATTCGTATCGCTTTAATGTACGTCATTTCGGTTTATACATTGAGTAATTTCCTATTGTGCGATATGTCACGCAACTTATTAGATATAATTTTATAATGAATTTTCACCAAATTTCGTATAATAAAAAATTCACCAAATTTCTAGGCTGTTAATTGATCGGTGTTTTCCATCCGGAAGCAAAACAAATTGAATTTGAACCTAACTACTTGTTCAACAAATGTGCAACAGATTCATCGAGAAATTTTTGCGAATTTGTGTTGGACCACTCTTATGATCAACGCTAAGCTCAAATTGTTTCTGAACCGACTAACTACAGAAGTAGGCGCCACCTGGCGAGCTAATACCTAAGCTGAAGCCAACACACATCTCCCAAACTTCATCCCCTGCTAAAATGTAAAATTATGTCCTATAGGCGTCTACAGTGGTGACGCGACCCTGTGTGCGAACTGTTGTTCGACATCTCTTTTGATGTAGCGCCTCGGGATATCGGACACCAGGCAACAAATCAGCAAGGCACGTAATCACAAGGGCGTAACTGTTGACCAACACATAGACGCTATATGAACTCAGGTGTTGTTTGACTGTTGTTCAACTGCTACGCAATGATGTTTGCTTGGTCTATTCCCATCAAGCGAATTTCAAAGTGTGGAACAGTCTCTCTCCCACAGTGCACAGAAGTCGTGGACGGAGTAAACATTTTTGTTTTATTAATTTTAATTAGTTTTAAAAAAAACTATTAAATTTTTTTTAAAACTAACCAGAACTAAGAAAATGCCAATTCCGTCTCTGCTTTCTCTCCGCGGTGGGAGAGAGGCAGGTAGTGCCAAGCCAATTCTACAATCGTATGGGTCTGAGTATAGGGTAGTTCTAAGCTAAGAAAACTCTACTTGCGAAGCCTGGTACGGTATTAATGGTTTTGGTTAGTTTTGGTTAGTTGGTTAGATAATAACCGTACTTTTTACAACGCTTCTGGATTCCTCCTGCGTCGGTTTTTGCTGAGTCGAAATTGCTGACGTTTCGCCAATCATCTTGTTGGCTTCTTCAGAGCTTGACTGAAACTGGCTCTGAAGAAGCCAACAGGATGATCGGCGAAACGTCAGCAATTTCGACTCAACAAAAACCGACGCAGGAGGAATCCAGAAGTTTTGTAAAAAGTGTTACAGTAGCATGTGGAAGTTTCTTGGAAAAAAAAATAATAACCATACTAGTGAACTGCCTGATATGCCCATGGAATCCAGAAATACCTAGAGTGGCGTATTCAATTTCGTGAAAGCATTCTTTCGGTAAACTCTGAATTCATATTTGTCTTTCATCCGTAATCAAAACTATTCATTACCGCTACCGTTTTATAGGGCTGTGTCGTTTGAAATGATCAATGTCAATCAACGACAACAACAATAATGCCAGGCAAATTAAATAATAATCGTTGTATTACTAAAGGACGTATAGCGGCACCGTCGAACATTCGACCAGTTCAATAGCAATCGCTGGCGAGAGGCAACGCGCGTTTTTCGACGCATTTCGCGAAATTCACTGGGTACTAGATCGAGCGGGTTAGGAGGAGGGAGTTTTGGAGTAGGCGCGATGCACCGCGAAATCGATCGGCGCGAAACTTCGTGGATAGATCAAGCAGCATCTCAAAACAACCAACCGACACCATCGTGGCGGGCACGTAAAACCGCCAAAACTGTGATTCATCCGACAGTTTGGTGAACGGTGTCGAGGTATTGTGTGTTCTTATTGGTTCGCGCTTGCCGTCGCCGGTAACAAACGATTACGTCGAGGTAAGACGCGTGCGCCAAGGTCGAACGCGTCCACCGTTAAAAATATACACTTCTCTGCTTCGCTTCTGCATTGTTTTTGTTTTGCGCCGGTCGTGTTTTCCACGTCGATGTGAAGCTTTAATCCGGAACACCTTTGCTACCGATGTTTTTTTTTTCGAACAGACAGCAGTGCAAACATAAGCCGAGCGAGACGATCTAATAATAATACAAATAATAATTTTTGCACCGGGTGCCCCAAGCTAAGTGCGCACTATTAATAACTTTTTTTACGGTTATACATACGAAGGCGATTAAAGTATCAAAGTAGTCGAAGTTTCGTGCAAAAAATAATTATGAAAACGAATTTATCAAAATGGAATGCCCTGTATATTTTTAAATCTAATGTTTGCAAATCTTCCATAGTCATAAAACTTCCCGTATATTGGCCTACAATTAAAGATAAGGAAATGATTACCACATTTATATTTTTAACAATTTGGCTACGATTTTATGAAATAAAACTCCGTCTTAAAACACAAACTTGATTAAATGTTCAAAGACATCGTCACTTTGTTCAATACATTTCGGACAATTTTTAGGGTTTGTTCCAACACAGAATTCCTATAGCCCAATGATCTAACCTTTTCCTAAATATATGTGTGTTTCTGAAGTATTTTTATAATTAGATAAATCACTGCCTGAGGCAGCCGTTGCTTGACATTTACTGCTAAATGGGTTTTAGCGCATGGGCGAACTTAAAATTTCCAAAAATCCTAAAATTATTTTCACTGATCTAGGACTGGTCGAAAACAATGTTGAAGCATCGTTGAAATGGCAAACTTCAAAATTCAAACTTGAAATAATTTCTGTTCGAACATCAATTTTGCTAATGCTCATATTATATATATTACATAATTCCAAATTGGTTGGAACAAACCTGTTTTGCAAACTTACACCGCCAACTTCTTAAAAATCAATAATGTCTAATATTTGGGTTATTTGTAAGTGTAGGCCCGTATTGCACACGAATTTTTATGTTCTACCAAAGATTTTCAAGGATTAGTTTTAAAAATATAGAAATAATTCGATTTTCTCATTTATTCGGACATTGGATATCTGTAGCTGAAAAAATTCCACTATGTTATTTTTACTGCCTTTATATCTTTCAAAATTAAAAAGGTAGCCATGCTAAGCACTTAATTTGGTACGCCACTGATTTGTCAGGAGTTGGCAAACTGAAAGGACTAGTAACCTAAACTTAAGATTATGTATATTAAAGTAGTATGATTCTAGTTCTTGCGGCATTTATTTCAATTCACCTGTAGGTCATTGGTAGGTTTTTATAATCTTTAATGCCTTTATATTTGTTTTTTTTTTGCCCTTATGTTGTGGTAATTTTATTTTATTTTATTTGAGTTTTTCCCAATCTTCCATGACTAAACCAAAGAGTTAACAATCAAAAACTTCAATTTCTGGCCAAATTTTTTCATAAACCTCGTTCTTTTCAACGGAGTAGGATTGTGAGTCCAGAAATGAAATTCCCGTACCTTTTCGTAATCTTATAATTTAAAATTTTAACATTTCACAGTACTTTTCAAATTTATGGAAAGCTATCCACGTGTTATGCGTGTAATATGCAAAGGTGACAATCTTTTTCACATAAATCTTACTGGAAACCTAGTTTAAGGTAATATGAAATGAAAAACAGCGGCCAAACATCTGCCAAGAGGTGTAAGAATTTATTTCCGCTTCAAGACTAATCACCAACACCGAAATAGATATACCACACCTTTCACTAGTGGAAGCGGAAACTACAAATACTGCAAACGACTCAAAACTATTTTTTTAGCAAGATTTGTAAAAATTCGCTATCGGCGAAGAATGTTTTAAAAAAATTTAGTTGGAAGTTTGCAAACTTGGGCCTTTATTTTATGCATGGGGTTTTATGTTTGTAATTTTTGTGTTTTGTTTATGTTTGATCGATCGTTATGATTAAACGTTTCGTTTCGTTGCCATTTTTTCTAAATTTTAAAGGGAAAATATGTTAATCGTTAGCGTTATTATCTTATGTATAAACTTTGAAGCTTTGTGAGTTTGTAAAATCCCGAAAAAATATCCATAATCATACTAATTCAGATTGAAGTACTGCGCCATTATCCCCGCGCGTATATGTAGCCACAAAAAGACAGATTTTTATAGACAAGATTCATTTTTGAACGCTCGACTTTGAACGTTTGGATGTTACCTAAATATCGGCCACATCTTACAAACACTTCGGGTTGTAGAAACACATTCTCATCGAGACCATGTGTAAACAAAGTTATCGAAGAGAGACGTAGATTCTCGATTGATTACCGTCTCATGGCAGGTGATTAGAAATACCCCGTCTATCTGAAAGTTACAGTTACAAACGAGAGCGCCGGATGCAAGCACATAGAGTACACGAAGTTTCTACGCCTTTAGGTGCCGCAAAACTTTCAACGCCTCGAAGTTTTGATAAAATGGGCGCTTATGGCCATAATACTTAAGTGCCACTTCGAATACCGAATAGCGGACGTTGAAATAAAATTGTTTCTTCTTGGTATTTCGAGATTTTAATCCAGAAAATGCATTAGAAGTACCTACCATCGCTATCTTAAAAATGATATAAGAGGGCAAAGTTACATATATCATTCAACTCCACAATTTTCGTTTAAAAAATTGACTTTATCCTTGGTACTATCGGAAATAACGCCGAGATTAAGAATACAGCCAGAGATAATACCGAAGATTAACATCACGAACAACATTTTGAGCATCAATGTATTTTGTCCTAAAATTTTACCATATCCCGATTTTCTTCGTTAGTAAATAACGTTTTTAACTACATCAACAAATTATCGAGAACACGGCTTATTTTAGTATCAACAGTCACGACTTGGCGTAGCCTTAAACGGTTTTAACAACTGGCGGTCACATTAGGATATAACAATTTAAACTTTCCGATTTGAACGAAATCTCGTATTACGTCGGTGTTTATTATTAGCGGTATCGCAATCCCTGTTGCCAATGACCGTGATTGCTGAGAAAAACGAATGATTCATTGCTGATTATCAAAAATTAATTAGTTTTCTTGCCAACTGACGCAAAAGAAGGTATCGCTATCTTTCCGTTAATGCACAGTTTTATTAAATCTGAATCATGTTTGTTGTACATTACTAAATTGTGTATGCTCGATATAGAAAATCCATTCGAACAAGTGATTAAAATTTCGTGGTTTCGGAAACTACAGAAGTATATTTGTGCTACAAGTTTGATAAACACCACTTTAGTCATGAGTTTGATTGAGCTTAAGCGGTTTTTAATAAATTTCTGACTAGAGCAGGTTATCAACGCGTTGACTTTTTCAACGATCATTCGTTTTTGGACATATTTTTGCAAAACTGCACGAATACAAGCTCAGAACTTCTACTTTAAAATTTAAAGTTCTAGCATGATTATAAGTGTTATATGTTTGTGCTCAATCCTCATATAGCTGCGAAGTTCACCGCAATATTAAAAATTTCACAAAAATAATGTACTTACGAGGGCAGCGCCAAAATTTCCCCGCCTGAATATGAAAGAAACAAATTAGAGTAATATTTTTTTTTATTTTTCAATACAATCCTTCAATACACTTATTACATCTCTTTATTAAAAACTCAATCCCTTTAAAAAAATATTGTTTTGGTTTGTCTGCAATATGAGCAGCCTCTTTTAACTCAACTTCGTCGTTAAACCGCCGTCCACGTAAGTCTTTTTTCGAATATCCAAACAAATAATAGTCGCTGGGGGCCATATCTGGACTATAGGGAGGATGATCTATCTGTCGGAACCCACACTCTAAAACGGCAGCTTGTGCAACCCCAGCAGTGTGGACAGGTGCAAAAGACGCACGCCTCTGGTCAGTTTTTTTCGACGGTTTACACGTATGCAGTCTCGCAATTTATCTGATAATGTTGCGTAATATTTACCATTGACAGTGGTATTAGTTTCTTTTAAATCTATCAAAAGAATTCCTTCACAATCCCAAAAGACTCTGAATTTTCTTGGAGGTGCTTCACCCTTACGACGCCACTCCATTGATTCTTTTTTCAATAGAAGATCACAATAGAGAACCCTGGTTTCATCTCCCGTCACAATAGTTTCTATCACAGGTTTGGGTTCCGACCCACAGAGTTCCAAAAATGACCGCGCACACTCGACACGTTTTTTTGAATAGCCGAAAGGTTTTTAAGAACCCATCTTGCACTAACCTTATGCATACTTAAATGATCATGCAGGATTCGACGAACACTTGGATCAGAAAGCTTAGTAATTTCTGAGATTTCCTTGACCTTTAAACTTCGATCACTCAATACCACCTCTTCCACAATCGCAACAATATCTACCGTTATGACCTCCACTGGTCGACCAGTTCTTGAATCATCTTCAAGGCACTCCTGCCCCATTCGAAAACGTTTTGCCCATTCTTTCACTACAGAATACGAAGGAGAACTTTGGCCGTACACACCATCCAGCCTTTCTTTAATAATTTTAGGTGCTAACCCTTGTCAATGAAAAACTATTTGACGCAAGACGTCATTTTTTTTTTCGCAGCCTACTAAGATATATATTTAAAAGAAGACAAAATTTATCGTGATGCTGGAGCTGCATCTACGTCAGGCCGGGAAATTTTGACGCTAACCTCGTATATACACCACCAGATTTATATGGAATGAGCCCAGTATTAATTCGAAATTATTTTTTTGTTACAATCTAAGACAAAATAATGCGATAAGATTTGTTCTGACAATTTCGATTTAAAATTTAAATATAATGCCGTACATGGAGTTATCGGAAGTCCAGAGGGGAAGTATTATTGCTCTGGCAGAACGAGGCATGTAACAAAGGCAGACTGCAAGAATGTTTAGAATTACACAAAGAGTCAATTCAAAAACCTATTCAAGGTATCTGGAATTGGGAACTGTAAGAGATAGACCTAGGAGATTTCACGGAATAGTAACTACAGTAGGGCAGGATCGTTTCGTAGTTCGAATAGCAAGAAGAGATCCTATAACATCTTATGCTAGAGGTTTCAATGCTAATTATTAAAATAAAACAACATTAATTCCTGTCAAATTGTCATTTTCAGAAAATGTATTTTCTATAGAAATCTATAGCATCTAAGCAATTTCAATGGCTAGGTGATTCCATATACTTATGTACAAATTAACTCAAAGTTATTTCAAATGCGTACCTAAACACTCAATTTCGTAAAATCCCGCGGTATCTTGGCGGAATAATGTGTCCAGTATCTTCAAACAACTGACGATTACCTGCGACTGAGTCAAACCACCTCCAAGAACGATTATTTACGGAAAAGCCAGACATTAGCACTAAGTATGTCCTAAATTTCTAGCACTTTGACGCCGCAAATTGTTCAAAGAATATTTCGGTTAATTGTATCCCTAATCATACTTATAATGCGACCTACTTTCCAATATCTCGTTGAACAAGTATGTTATCAATGATAACTGGCCTTCATGCGATGCCAAAATTGAAGCTGACATGTGAATACAAACATTTTTTTCCCTTCTTTTCAACTTATAATTTACCGCATTACTCTTAAAGAAGAGAGCATTATGCTTTATCTATAGAAACACTTTCTCTTGAGAATACTGCACCTTGAGCACTTCTCAGAATAGGGGAAACCGAAAACTTGGAGAGATCCTAGATCTCAACCAAGATTATACTTAGGACATGTACACAGATTTCGAGTTTCCTTTCTTGCTTCTTTTTCGACAATGATTCTTTTACTAAGCTTGTGTGGTACTTGCCCGTAAGCACTTTTTTTGTTAAGCGCAATCTTCTTTCTGCAGAATCTCTACTAAGGCGACTTTGAAATAAATTTTCATGGAATTCATTAGGTGGCTATAAGTTTTAAGAAACGGATGAAACTGAACTGAAAGTTAATGTTGTTTTTCCTCGGGATTATTGAGACTGTAAAATAGGAACTACAATAAAATTTGTAGATTTACCTTGGTAAGACCTTCCAGTGACAAGAAAGCTCAAGTGGTACAAAGTTTCTCTTCTGCTTGATATTCTGGTTTTTACTATACTAATGGCTGTTTTTTTTCGATGTATAGAACTTTAAGTTGGCATTACTGTTCAAGATGGCGACCGATTTAACAGCTGTCAAGTGATTTATTCTCAGTTTGGTTTGGCAATTCATCATGACTAGACTCACGCCTGAACAACGCTTGCAAATAGTGCAATTTTATTTCGAAAATAATGGTTCTGTGCGGAATACATATCGCGCACTACGTCCATTTTATCGTCGACAAAATCGTCCATCGGAGCAGTTAATTCGATTAACCATGGAACGTTTTCGCACCACGTTTACTCTTATTGATAACTCGCGTCCCAGAGACGCCGTACGGTGCGTACAGAAGAAGCTATTGCTGCTGTAGAGCGTAGCATTGAAGAAGACCCGAATGAGTCCATCCGCGATCGAACACAGTAATTGGATCTGTGTCCATCCACTGTATGGAAGATTTTGCTGAAGGATCTTGGTTTACGTGCTTAAAAAATCCAACTCGTGCAAGAATTGAAGCCAAACGATCATCAAGTAAGGCGTAGATTCGTCGAATGGGACCAAAACGAGATTGCCGTTGTTTAGCGATAAAGCGCACTTCTGGTTGAATGGCTACGTCAACAAACAAAACTGCCGCATTTGGAGCGAAGTGTATGTCGAAACAGCGTTACATCCAGAAAAACTGACTGTTTAGTGTGCTTTATGGGCTGGTGGAATCATTGGTCCGTACTTCTTCAAAAACGATGATGGCCAGAACGTTACAGTCAATGGTGATCGGTATAGAGCTATGATTACTAACTCTTTCATTCCTAAATTGAATAACCATGATGTCCAGGAGATGTGGTTTCAACAAGACGGCGCAACATGTCACACAGCTCGTGATGCAATCGATTTATTGAAAGACACGTTTGGTGACCGCCTAATTTCACGTTTTGGACCCGTGAATTGGCTTCCAAGATCTTGTGATTTAACACCGCTAGACTACTTTCTGTGGGGCTATGTAAAGTCATTGGTCTATGTGGACGTTTGACCATTTGGAAGACAACATTCGTCGTGTTATTGCCATTATACGACCACAAATGTTGGAAAAAGTCATCGAAAATTGGACGTCCAGATTCTACTACATCCGCGCCAGCCGTGGCGGTCATATGCCAGAAATCATATTCAAAATGTAATGCCACAAGATTATCTTTCGGATAAATAAAATTCATGTCAATCGAATAATCCATCGTTGTTTTATTGCAACTTAAAGTTCTATACATCGAAAAAAAACACCCCTTATATAGCGAAAACTGTTTCATCCATTCTTAGATCATTTCTGAGATCTTTAATCTTTTCTTATGACACACAACATTGTCAACATAAATTGAAGGCCGTCTTTTCCTCATATTGTTAAGCATGTTTGTTTTCCCAACTTTTAAAACTTTGTCAAGATTCTGTATTGGCATAGATAAGAGATTTTACCTGTGGAACATCAGACCCTAAGATATATCTTAGTCCAATCCAGGCAGTTTTAACTTTGTGTGTGTTATGTTGTTGGCCCTCACTCAATGAAGGTTGTAGATGTAAGATTTCAGAACAGATTCCTAGAATTCGGTATGGCGTCCTTTAAATATTTTCGAGTAAATTACGTAGTGGCAAGAACCACATTCGCTTCGTTCGCTTCAGCAAGGTCGGGATGTGTAATTGAAACTCGAGAATTCACGCCTGCTTTATATAGATACAAACGTGACATTGAATTTTACTTTTACGCTCGCAATTGCGCTAATCTAAATTCGTTTTATTAGCCGGCGAGATCGCGTCAATAAAAAAACAAACGCAGCATTAATTTTGCCAGATTTTATTTAGATTGGTGGTCGTGTTTATAATTGATCATGTTTGACGCCGTTTCGATTGTAGATAAACTGGTTCGCGAACGGCTTGGCATGTTTTGGATGCTAGCGATGGAATATTTATATGAACACCGGCTTGTCGCTGTCTAAAATACGATGTCTTGAGCGAGTGAAGTTTGAATTTGATGCTGGCAAACGAAAACATACTATTTTGTTGAGGGTTCGGTATCAAAAAGAAACAAATTGAATTCGATTAGATTAATATAAACGGCATAAATTGAAATAAACTGATAATGGATGGGCTATGTTTGAAAACAATACCTATATTTTATTTGAAAAATACATTTTAATATATATTTTTTTAATGATCATAGAGTAAAGAATAACGTGGTAACGGCCGACAGACGTTGTTACTTGAATGATAGTGCAGGTAGCACTACGGCAAGAAGCATAAATTTAAATTATTGTATTGTATACCTATCACTGCCACCATTTAGTTTTGTAAAAAATAAAATATGAACTCTCTGAAATTAGTAAAACTGACTTCTTAATAATGAAAAAATTGTGAAATCAATTTTAAAAATAAAATAAAACAAACGTTCTTTTCGAAAGGAAAAAAACGCAGTCGCAAACCCCTAAAACTGATAAAACTTTGTACATTAAACTACCGTAAAATCGAAAAATCCAAACAAATAAAAATAGAAAGAACATTTAAAAAAAAACTTGCAAATAAAATCTGATATTTTAGTATAAAACCAATATAATTAACATTAAAGTGCAAAAGGCCTTGAAACTTTAATACCTAGTCGAATCATTAAAACATTAGTAAAAATTTTTGTTTTTGGTATTGGTAAGTTTTAACTTTTCAAACGTTGAAGTGTTATTTCTTACTGAAATTGTTACGGCAAGTTACTCCAAGTGATCTTCAGAATAATTTGGTATAACGTCCATATTCATTAATGCAAACTAATTTGATCTGCTTTTAGGAACCATAGATGCAATGGCAATGAAAATTTTTCTATTAAATGATAATAATATGCACTAAATTTAATTTTTCCTTCATAAACTCGTCGCTCCACTCTGCACTTAAAATAACAACAACGGACTAGAAGTTGAAAACAAACATTTCCCTTAACCATAGAAAACAACATAGTAGTCGTGCCTAGCCATTGACTGACTGTTTAGGTACTGCAGTGCCCCCAAGGCATACATGTTGTTTTGGTTAGTTTCGGCTAGCCCGTCCTACATATATAAAGTTGTCCACGCTTGTTGTCAATTTGAAAATGGCCAATCTATTTCCTGTCGTTTCAAAAAAGACTTAACTTTGACTGAGATTACAGTCGCATTACTAGTTAACACAATCATAAACAAATCACTAAAATAGAACCTATTTATTGATGCAATAAAATAAATTATTTAAAAAAAAATCGTTACCAGTGGAATTTCAAGGATTCGCAATCGCCTCGTTCGGTAATGTGTGTTTGCTCGAAAAATGCGAAAAATTTATTTAGCGATAACCACATGCACATTTGCGCGCGCTTTTAGCCGTTATAGTCTCGAGAGGATATTTACAAAAGCTTCGCACCTAATTTGTTTGTATTAGCCACAGTTCGCGATTTCGAGATGATAGTGAGGACCTTCGAAAGTTAGTTTCCGTCGAACTTTACAAGCGGATAATGTGCGGGCGAAAATGACTGAAAATGTTGGCGAGCGTTCGATAAAAAATGGGAATTTCCAACGCCTCTCATAGCGTTGAAAGAAAAAGGGATGTCGCATCGGACGAGCATGAGAAGAAAATGGAACAAGACATGGACATGGAGAATATCAAGTATATAGACGAGGTTACCGAAGAAAATAACAATCGAGAAGTGCATAAAATCGAGGAAACTGTAGTTGATGGAGAGTAAGTTTTGCGTTTCTATAAAGCGAAAAACAAACAGATTTTCGAATGACTCAAGACCTACCAAAGTTTTGTCAATAACATACAGAGTGTTTTCTAATAGAGAACGGGACCATTAAAAAAATTAATTAATTAATTTGTTTTGTCCGTTGCACGGGTTTCACTTACAAATGAAAACTAATTTCTCTGCATGCTGTCTTCTTAACGATATTGTTATGACCATGCAGAGAAGAGGTTTTTATTATTTAAGCGAAAACCGTAATTTGGCCAAATTTTATTAAAATATCTAAAGTGGTAATATAGATATTAAAAAAAATATATTTTATTTTTAAAAACTTTACCACCCCGTAGTCAAAAGTTAAGACGTTTAGGGCATATGTTCGTATGAAGCGTGTTTAAAATGGACTCAAAAATCGCCTAATTAATTATTGACATTCAGTTGGAAAACACCCTGTATTTTATTATACGCCGCTGAAAAGTGTCTACGAAATAAAACACTAAAATTATCCCTAAAGCGTCATTTTAATTATTATCTTTGGGTATTTCAACATAATACAGATTTTAAACACTGCTACTGGGGTAGATTTATTGCGCTACGTTGCGTAGTTACTTCACACCGTGTGACCCAAATGAATCGGAAACACTGCAAATAGTTGTCTTATGTTTTATTAATCTACTTGTTGAGAAAATTGGTTCATTCTTCGTCGAGCTGATGATCCACTAATCGCACACAATATCAGCGCAGCACGTGCTCTAGCGGGGAATCGATTGGGCGCGCCTGCGTACAATTTTTCCGTCTTTAACGAGTACGTAGAATTGTAAAGCTGGTGGCCTAACCGTAACGCCACGCATTGGAAATATTGTCAGCTTGACATCGAGATCGGTGCACTTCTCGTTGCTGACGGATGAAATACGGCAGCGGACAGTCGTGCTTTCGTGGTTGGTGTAGGTGGATTGAGTGTGTTAAGTATTGTTTTAAAATAATTTTGTTGCCGACTCGAACTGCCTTTCAATTAAATTTTCCGCAAGAAACTTGCACTGGACATCGAACACTGTGAATCGACTTAGGAAGAGAAAATCTGTTTCTGTGCCGCGAACTGCGTATTTAGGTTATGTGTGTTTCGTGTCAAACGCTGGGGTTTGGGTTTTAAATACACCTGCCAACGAAAACAGCAGTCAATAATATGCTTTAAACTCAATAAACAAGCGTGATCTCGGTCAAACGACGGAACGCTTAAAAGTAGCAGGATCAGCATAATTCAAAAGTTCAATTGCCATTTCCGGAATACCAAAGCCCGTCTCCGTCCAGCTATGATTAGTTGACGGACGTCATTTATAAGGTAGGTACGTAGCAATTTGTGTACGGTAAGGCGTACTTTCCTTATTAATTGTTTTTCCTAGAAATCTATTCACGTTTTGTAAAGTTCATTGATATTTTTAGAACTCGGGTTGTTATTGCCCGACTTTTGAGAGTGCTTAACATATTTTGCCATACGGCTGTTTGTTATATTTCGACATGCACGTTGATTTTTTTATTTGTGCATTAAGTATATCGGGATGTTTGAAACTCTATTATCTGACAAAAATTGACTCAATGCGTGCAAACTATATTGGAAATATACTGGAACTAATTTGAGAAAGAAACGTTTTGAGGAACGAACAAATTTTGTGAGACAATCAAAATGAAAAGAGTGCTCTGTAGTGCGTAAATGCCACAATATTGGCTGCCGACCGTTGTTTGATCGGTCATCAACCAGGTTAAATATACTGCGGATTAAATACGATTAAATATGTCCTCTAGGTCCTATAAATCATTTTGTTTTGACGAAAATGACGAAAAATTAGTTACAATATTTTATGAATCTTTTAATTCCTTCGCAGTGCTGCCAAAATATATCGGTATCTTAGGGAAACAATGAATCATTGGTACAAGTCTGGTGCTGTCAATGTACGCAGTTGCTTGCCATCTTTGTCGAATTTTTAACGAAAATAAGTTACCATTCCGTTCCAGATGAATTAGAATTGTGCCCGTTCAATTTGCATAAGGTTCGATTTTCGGCTTGCATGGTTTTAAATACCTACTTACATTATACCGAGCATTGTACCCAATCGAAGCCCGGAATTCCACTCTTGCACTTCGTGACGCTGAGTCAGACTGTTACTTAACACCATGTAATTTTAGGCCTGCGTTACCTACACTATCCACGAGAAACTGTTTTGTCTATATTTTAATATTCCAACCCCCACATAGAGGTTGTTTCACCGGGAATATCGATCTGTTATGGTAACTATAATTAACGTAAATTTGAAAATTTGGGGTTTTATCAGTAAAATACTTTTCTTTATAAAAGAGCAAGTCTAAGAAATTTAGTTAGTAAATCAGTTAAAAAATATATTATACTTATATAATTCTTACCGCTGATGACGTCAACGCACTTAACTTGAAAATTGTTATTTTATTATATATAGCTTTTTAAAAAAAATGATTTGTTTATTATCAACCAATGTTTTAATTATTTGAAAGTGCTTCACGGATTTCACGCTAATATGTGAATTTTTTTTCGCGTAACGTTAAACCTAAATGAAAAACGAATTTTAATGAAATGTGATCGAGAGTCTTGCCGAAAGCTACAATCGGACAGGCTCTGCGCGTTTTTCAAGAAGTTCCCGAATAATTCTATTTTTATTTCGGTTTGGACTTCATTCGAAAACAACTTTATTGTCGTTTTTATTATTATTTTTCTCTCGAAACGGAGCCTTTTATTTTTGCCCGGCGCTAATGAAATTCGACAACGGTTCAACAAATTCCGTTTGATTTAGCACCCAAAGTAGTAAGACTATCTGTTTTTAAAATTCGCTGATATTTGCAAAAAAGCAAAAAATGCAAATTTTATATTCTCGCGATATTCTTTTGTTTAGAACTTATTCAAAATAATTTAAAGTTCATCAAAGAGCCCTCTAGTTGGGTTCTCTTGTTCGAAAACGCCAACACACAAATTTTGAATTTAGTACCCGTCTCTAGAACCGTTTTGGTTAGTTAGGCTCGAAGAATCATCCATTCTTTCGTCATTGTATTCGAATGAATTTATTTCTCAAATACCAAAGGTAGCGTTATCAGTGTGACACTTTGTTGTCAAAATGTGTTCGGCATACATAAGAGCTGTATTGTTTACGGTTGACGTGTTGGTCGGTATCCAAACTTTTTATCTTGACGTTTGAAATTTATCAAATATTGTGCGATAAAATAAACGCAACAGTGGTACGTCACTGGCTTGGTGGCGTTATTATATTCCTAGTGTATACCAAATAAACTTTTAATCGTAGACCCACGAAGCTGTTTATTTTCTATAGCAGTGAACTCGATCTAAACTGGAGTAGGCAGCCAGCATCGATTTCGTAAGGCAAATTTTATTTAGAGGAGGAGTAGTAATAAGTATTAAGTGTAAATCGCTAGAGGGTACTTCTTTGAAATAGTGGCTGTGGTATATATCATTAAATAAAGTAATTAAACAACTAGGACACCCCGTTACCCCATTTATATAAATAAGAACGAGAAAGACAACAATCAGCATTACTGCCCGTCTTTTTCTATTGTAAAATTTGCCTCACTCCCACCACACGAGGCCAGTTCCACTAAAGATCGAGTTCACTGTGTTTTTCTAGTGACTTTATACAAATGTTAAATTTGTCAAGCAACAGATTCGAAGGAGAAAAGTATTAAACATGTATAACATAAAATCATCAGGCGCATCTAAAATGCGAGACGCATGCATGCAAGCATCCAAAAAAGCGACCGGGGTTCATGCAGTAAGCACCATAGGAGCTGAAATATTTACATTAATGACTTTTGAGTTCAGTTTTAAGTTTTGATATTTATTGCGTGTAGATAAGATGCAATGATTTGTTCAATTTAATTAAAAGAAACACAGACTTTGAACACTATCCAATTTGCGTTTTACACACAGCAAGTTTACTCATATTAAACACGTCGAGATCCATTAGCGTGAATTAATTGTAAGCATTGTTGTGCTATCCATTGCATTAAAAGTCATTTAGTTGTTTATGCCGCGGTTTTGAATACAACGCGAACCCGATCTAAAGGAGGCAATTGTATCAATTCGTCGTAATTTAGGTTCGTGGTAGATGATTGTTCGCACAGATGTTTCGTGGGTGCACATGGTGAAAGTGATTTCTAAAAAAAAAATTTGACGTAACTCACGAAGGAAAGTTTTTTGCACCAAAATTCTTGTGCGACCAACGGATCGAAACGGCGAAGTCGTAACGAACCGCCAATGCTATAATTAATGTCCGTTTTCAAGGTTTTGCCAAATAAAATTGTTAAATAAGTCTCGTAAAAGCGAAGGTCAAAGTCGATTTTCCGTTTGAAACTACGATAGCAAGTTTCCAACAATTGCCATCATTGGCGAAAGGTTTGCCATAAATATCCGTCGCGCTTCACGCCGGCACCCGCCGTTTATTTTGTTTTTTTTTTCTGTTCTGTAAACCCTCGCGATACAGCATGGCGGATGTACGAAGTAGCGTTGTCGTGCACCCTATATAGCTTTTTCAAGACGGTAAGATTGGCAAAATTTTCTCAAAAATGATTTTTTCAAAATGGCAGAAAAAGTATAAATGGTATGTACCGTGCGTTCAATTTATCTTGATAACATTTTAAATGGCTGTAACTTTTTTGTTTTTCGAGATATCAAGGTAAACAAAAAAACAAAATGTAGGGTTAGTAGCTAAGTTTTTTCCAAGTGACGTTTAAAACAAAACACTATCAATTTTGTGACATGTAAGCCTACATAATATGTTTTCAAATGGAACACCCTGTATATTATATATGTGTTTAATAGAATATCTTAAACAATATCATAAAAAATTCTTTAACTATTTCAAATACTGCTGTAAAAATAGGAATTTTTTATATAATTTCAAGGACTGACAAATAAAAGTAAACAACGTTGATGGTTGAATTATTCTCCATATCATTATTGTCAAAATATGCCTCAATAATAATAATGCAACCGCAACTCGTCGTCAGAATATTAGACAGATATTCCCAAGACTGACAATGAAATTTGCAGAAAACGGTAACGTATTAAATGCTAAAATGATATTTCGGAATCATAATATTTTAAATGAAAAAAATAAGCACACAGAAGCAGTTTCCTCTATTACTAGTGTATATATTCCGCGGTGTTTAATTCACTCAGTTTTGAAATAATTTAAGTTTCGTAAAACTCAAAAACTAAGTGCAGAACAATATCAAAGGTAGATGCAGTTTGGTTTGGATTTTTTAAATAAACATAATGAGAATCATAATTCTTTGAAAAACATTTTATGGACTGATCAAAGTTCGTTCACTACAAGAAGGGGTTGTAATAGACAAAATACGCGATATTGGTCTTTAAATAGTCCTAAACAAATACACGAAATAAAAACCCAGAGGTACCAATCAATTAATGGATGGTGTGATGTCATAGGTGGGCATATTTAACTGGAGATTATAATTTGCAACTCTTAGAGCACCAAATAGAACAATATATAGAAAATTTACCCCTAAATATACCAGGGCTGACTTTATGATGCCCCTCCTCACAATGTTATTCAATTTAAAAATTTTGTTAACATGGAATTCCCAAGGGTTGGATAGGGAACGACGGAACTATAGATTGGCCAGCCAACAGCCCCGACTTAACTTTAATGGATTTTTTTTTTGGGGACATATAAAAAATAACGTTCACAGAACTTCTTGCCATAATGTCGTGGAACTTCGGCAAATGATTTCAGAGACAATCCGAAAACGACACCATACAATTAGAATGTATGAGAAATGTGTTCAGGAAAATGGTGGTACCATACAGCGGTATTTAGAAAAGTTAAAGAATTTTTTACTTTACTGCGTCTTGTCATTGTTAGTGTTTTTGATCTACTTTAATTTGTAAATAATTATTGTTGTTGCAGTCTGTCACGGAACTCGTTGAAATTATATAAAAAATTCCTATTTTTGCCTATTTGTCACGAACGAGTGCGCTAAAATATAAAGTGCTTTACATCATTGTAATCGAAATAAGATATTCTATTAAGTACATATATAATATACACGGTCTTCCATTAACAAAAATTATTGAGGCTTATATGTCAGACAATTGATGGTGTTTTATACGTCATTTGAAAAAAAAACTTGGCTACTAACCGTACATTTGGTTTTTTTGTTTACCTTCATATCTCTAAAAACAAAAAAGTTACAGCCAATTAAAATGTTATGAAGATAAATTGAACATTGCCCGGTTAGTTAAAATATGTGGCGTTCTATTTATAATTATTAGATTCTAATACATTTTTGAGCGCCCTGTATAAGATGGGAAATTTATTTTAAATGTTCTATATAGTGTTCATTCTTACATTTCATGTTTAAATTTATGTTCATTTCGCTTAGGTACATAACCCAATTTTCACAAAACTTAAATTAGTATTTAAATAAACCTTAAGAGTTTATTTAGATATCATAAATGGTAGTAGGCAATTAATAACCTAACGACCCCCAAAATAACAGGAATCCACCCATGATATAGTAGAGTCAGCGGTAACACATTAAACGGCCTTTTAGCAGTAGCTCCCGTTACTGTCCCTTTCCTTTTCCATAGTACACCTGCATATCTCAAAAATTAAACTTTTGGAAATCAATATTCCACACAGCTCTAATAACCCTGTATATATAAAGATGGTATAGACTGGTGTTCTCTTGTGTTGCAGAATGGTATTAGAGCCCAAGTTCGTCGACTATGGCAGCATTCATCCGACAACAGATTCGCACCATCAACACAACGGAATTTTGAGTCCGCGGTCCACCCTTTTGCCGCCTCTCGACGACGAAGACGCCACTCCCAACACCTCCAATACCAACAAAATGACCCAAGGTAATTTTTGAGGTTGAAATGTGTCAATAGTTTTAATCATCTTCAAATTTAATCTAAATCTAAAAGTTATCAAATCTGCGAATTGGCTAGTAGAATCAACTTTCTTTTTGTTAATTTCAATGAAATGCCGATAAAGACATTTCTTTTTTCGTAAACTCGGTAGTTTTTTTATATTTGCCGCTGAGGTCTGAATACATTGCGCGTCGCGCGCTGTATTTCTGATCCTCGGAATAGTCTCGCTGTCCGCGACACAAGTGGGAACGATAGTTTCGCAAAATGTGACTCTCATTAAATCTTATCCTAAAAATAATTATTTTATTTTTGCGTCATCTTCAACATAGATCTTGGGATGTTTCCAACATGACAAGAACTCCCTTACCTTAGGTGGCGCAAGTGGCGCAGTTTTCTTCAAATTATAGAGAAATTAATAAAAATGCAATTTCACTTTATTTCAACAATTAAAAATAATACAAGCAACGAAAAGCAAAATAAAAATATAAAACAAATAATATCACAAATTGAACAGCGAAACTTTATTAGTGGTTGGTTCCCGTTTGTGTGTTTGTAAAAAAATAATGTTAGAATTAGGCTAGATTATAACAACAAAGTTTTCGTTCTCTTCTTTTCCTATGTAAACTAAACAAATAGCAAAATCAAATAAATACTCGTATATATATGTTGTTTTTGCTCCCAACGATAAACTATTTTGTTAAGGCGTCCTCAGTGAACTTTTTCGGTCTCCTCAATTCACCTATCTATGGCATGTCTTACGTCCGTTAGGGAACAGATGTCAATCACTGGGAACAAAATCCGGTTAATAAGGTGGATGCCGTAGCAAGTCACATCGTAAATTGTTTAATACATGCTTTGTAAAATAATCCCTGCTCAATCCCAGAATGTAGTAACTATTACCTTTCTAACCAACCATTCGTGCCATTCTTCGGATTTACTTTTTTAGCAGCTCTTGAAGTTAACAAGTATCAGACCTATCGAGACGTCATGAACTTTCAGTAGGTCTTGAATGGCGGTAATATTTCTTTCATATACCGACGTGCTGCGCGAATCGTCTTCTAGTGATCTACCAGTTTTAAAACGATCGATCCACTAATAAACACTACTTTTAGATTCTACAGTCACCCAAATAATCTTTATAGACGCTGAATAATTTCTAATGTTTTCACACCTTGTTTCCACAAAAAAAAAATTGTTCTTTAAGATTTTGTTGCCTCTTCCTTGGTTACAAAAACAGTGCAATTAAAATGCGTCAGTCCAACATCCAAGTCAAACTGATCATGCTTTTTACAAAACTTCTGGTTTCCTCCTGCGTCGGTCTTTGCTTAGTCGAAATTGCTGACGTTTTACCAATCATCCTGTTGGCTTCTTCAGAGCTTGACTGAAACTGGTGCCGACGCATGAGGAATCCAGAAGTTTTGTAAAAAGTATTACAGTAACCTGTGGAAGTTTCTTTGAAAAATCAAACTGACCAATATTACACCTTATAGTTGCCTATACATGTCAGGATTTGTCTGGCACCAACAATATTGCCTATAATGTGTATTATACACACCTAATGTGTGTGTATGTGATATATACTTCCAAATTACCTGTTTTTGAATTCTTGTTTCTTTTTCCTCAATTTGACACAAACAAAAAACGGGTATACACATAAAAACCCAATATAAAACAAAACAATAATAAATTAAATTCATAAAATTTCATTCTGATTCATTCTAAATACACCAAACGTTCTTCAACGTCGTCTATCAACAATCCCAGCTGTTAAAGATAAACACGGAAGCGCACACAAGTAGTAACTCATTATGTTCAAATTAGTGAAATGTTCGTTACAGTAGAGCCTAGAACTAATTTTGAGTTGTATTGAGTATGCGCAATACCAAATTAATATTCCAACAAAGATTTATTTCGGAACGGGTCGGAACTCGAAGAATTTTAGGGTTTTTTGGCTTTAGTTTTATTGCCAGTTGTTGATCGAAACATCGTTGTTTGCTATTTAAATTATTTATAAAAATACTGAAATATCAAATACATGCATTTAGGAATGGTTAAGTCATTTTGCTCTTTAAGATAATGTTGACAATCCGCGCATGCTCAATTCCAAATCCTAAATTAGTTCACAAACGGTTAGCGGTTGTGTGTCAGCCTTATTTTATTAGTTCTCTCTATGGCAACAACACATATTGAGAGTTTTATTTTTGATTGATTTTATTTGTAAACCGCACCTTCAAACTTCAATTAATTCTTAGATGTTATTAGGTCGGGCGACAATTCCACGTCTGATACGCTAACAATATAATTAAGAGGACACATTTACATTATAAACAATTTTGCAGATACACAGTAATAATAATAGTTTGAAATAGAACTTCTGATTGGCCAAAATTTTCACCAAAGTAAAATGTAAGTCTATGAATAAAAACATATAGTACATGACATTATTTCGCGGCTTAAACCTATAAACAATTGTTTTATTATATCGTAAAAAGATTAGACGGCAAAACAATGGCGACATTTTTTTTGTTTATTCCTCGTTTGGTTCCGTCACTTGCCAACAAATAAAAAGTTTTTCATGTACTCCGACGAAACACGCTAGTCCATTATAGTGGTTGGGTATGAATGCGGATAGAAATCATTAGTCTGTCAATTATTTATCGTTGCTACTGGGCGTCATACTTTTAGCGACGATGCTTTATCCGTTTTTACGTAAGTCGATAAGATAAGAAGCGCCACCTAATCTGTCGCAAAATTGTTGCTTCACCAAACCCGATAAATGGATTTCATTATTTCGGCCGAACAATGAATTCCCGAAAAAAAAATTTTGCTGTTATATTTGCCGCCAAAATTTTCCATTTTAAGTCGCAGTCGTGGAATTGTGTAAGGTGTTCATGTCGATCTTGCTCAGTTTTGGACAAGAGAAACAAGTAAAGAACTTTTTTTTTTGAAATTATTCAGGTTTTTATTGATAATGCCAAACTCAAAAATTTAAATGTTGAAAAAATTGGAATTCAAAAATATTTTCTTATCGTTTTTATCGGTAACTTTGATATTGTTTTCCAAAATTGTGATTATAAAATATAATTAGCATATTTTATTTGTATTTGTTTCAGGTGATTTGTACCAAAGACAACCTTTACTGCCCAATCCGTCAAACGGCGACCATTGGAATCACCACAGCACCCGCAACTCGTGCGGCGGGGAGTACTACGCCGACGAGGACGAGGATGACATCATGGAAAAAGGCACGCAGAATGGCGATATTAAGATTGATATTCCTGTGTCCAGGGAGGAACCCCGGTTTCCCCAGGAACGATGCAAAACTCTCTTAGGTAAGAAAAAATCGGAAATTATTAAAATATGTCCTTTATAATTTTCTATTCTCATGTTATGCTGTTTAGTGATGAAAAGACAGTCCAGCCTCCCTTTGCCTATTATTACTTTTCTTTCTTGCTTGTTTACACATTGTGTTATTGAAGTGATATACATGGTGTGTTCAAAAAGTAAGGTGACTTTTGTAATTGGGCGGGCTACGTACATTCGATCTTCGATATTTTTTTTTGTTATGTTGGTACACATGCCCTAACATCTGTTCACAGTTTCAGCCAGTTTGTACGTTTACATTTTTTTGTAAGACAGAAGAAGCGTTAGACGTGTCTTGTGCGGTCGGCGATTTTCTGCTGTCAAAAAAAGTGGAACCTAGAATTTGCATAACATTTTGTGTAAAAAATTGAATACGGGGCTGCAAAACCCTTGAAAAGTTGACAACGGCATACTTTGAGCAAAAAAAAAAGTTAATAAGTGGTACAAGCTGTCCAAGATGGCCGAGAAGACGTCGATGACGAACCTCGCTCTGGACGCCTCAGAAGTGAAATAAATGGTGTTGAAAAGTCGTCGAATCACTATTACAGAAGCGGCTGAAGACCGCGGCAATTTTGGCCATGAAACGTGTAGCAGCAAAATTTGTTCCGAAACCGCTTAATTTTAAACTAAAGGACCGTCGAAGGAGCTCAAAAAGGTCATAACTGGTAAGGAATCATGGTTATATGGTTATAACGTCTAAATCAAAGCCCAGTCGTCCCAATGGAAGAACCTAGAGTCGCCAAGATCGAAAAAAGCACGTCAAGTTCGATCAAATGTTTTCTATGATTATCGTTGCGTAGTACATCAAGAGTTCTTACCATAAGGCCGCACGGGGTCAATAAAGAGTATTACCTTGAAGTTATGCGCCGTTTGCGAGAAGCAATAGGAAGAAAGCGTCCGGAAAACAATTCATGGATTTTGCATCACGATAATACACCTGCTCACTCATCGTTGCTTGTGTCTAACTTTTTGACCAAAAACAAAACCACAATCATGCCTCAGCCAACACATTCACCAGATATGGACCCCTGTGACTTTTTCCTGTTAACAAAAAACTCAAGAAACCCATGAAAGGAATTAGGTTTGGAACGATTGAGGAGAGAAAGAAAAAAGGCCATAGCAGAAAGTGCTTAATTACTGCTTCGATAAAACGTTGTCACAAGTGTATCACTTTGAAGGGGACAACGTTAATTTTGATGATTGAATGACTTTTGATTAAACTTAAAAGTCACCTTACTTCTTGAACACACCTCGGGACAAATGGCAAAAATACTTCAAAAATTTCGTATGAAATGCTTGTCTTGCCATGGCCATGTGATATAATGAAAGAGGTAAGCCAGGAAATAAGGTTTGCCGTTTTTAATAAGCCCAAAAATTAAAAACAAACTGTTTCAGAAAACCTATTATTTTGTCTACTAACACTTCAAAGATTTCCCGATTGATTTTTAACCCGAGCATTGCTAAGTTTATAATTTAAAACCCCAAAAAATATTTTTTCCAGTACATGAAAAAAAAAAAGTGATTAATTCTGTATATCACTATTTATTTGTTACAAGTGTAGAATAAAAAATTGCCAATAACTTATTTTATATTTTAATACATTTGAAAGCTATATCGGGTGACTTGTATAATATGCAGCTATGAAACCAGCATATCTTGTTTATCGTCAATCTAATAACCATATAAGATTTTTGCTCCTTGTTACTAATTAATTTGTAATCTACGCAGTTCGTAAACAAAACATAACTCGAGTCATAACAACAGTACCAGATAAATAGCCTAAATAGGCTTTGCAGCGTATTTATCGAGACATGTAAGGTTATTAAAAAAATAGCATTTTTTATCCGATTTCGACCCAATAAAATATCGATTCGGCATCAAGATGGGGTCCAAATTCACTAATTAGATGATGTGACGTCATTATCATAACACTTTGTATAAATAAGTAAACTGGTCTATAATAATCGTGCGAAATAAAACGGTCAATCAAGTGCTTTAAGCTTATGTGATATTTGACTTTTTCTTTTCATTCTTTTGATATTTCACAATTTCACAATAAAACATTGAAAACTTAATTTGCGAATCAATAACTAAGCCTGAACTTTTAGTGGTTTCCGTCAACTGGAATAATACTTACTTACATGCATATCTTACCAAAAAATCTAGCTATTTTTTTGTTTTAAACTATTGTATTATTTAAAAAATAGGTGTTTATAACTCCATAAATTAAGACAAATTTATCAAAATTATGTTGAATAATTTCAGATATTAAACTAACTAGACTTGGGTGGATAGTTTTGGTTTTTTACCGTAGTTGAACTTCCCTTTAATTGGCGATTTTACAATTGTTGCCTTGTTTTCATATTAGTTTCTTGTTTGCGTGTTAAGGTTTATGTTGATATTATTTTAAAAAATGGCTCGATTGATACCGTTTCGCGATTTATCGTCTTTATGGATTCATTAAAGGAAAAACTTATTGCTTTCAAAAACAAACACAATATTAGCTTTGAATATAAAACAAATATTCTTTAAATACACCTAGTACACTTTAGGAGAACTGCTGCAAAATACTTGCAAGTTCCAGACAAAACAGTTTTGCAACTACGACCGATGCGGTTTATTCTATAATATTTGATTTTCTTTAATTATTTAGGGAGTACTTTTACGAGAGTCGCTTGAAGGTTCCAACCTCACACTGAAGATGGCGGCACTAGTTAATAAAAGCTAGTGATCGTAAATGCATGGTTTTTAGTTGAGAGCCGTTTGAGTGAGTCGATGTGAGTATTTTCGTGAAAATGGAGAAAATTTAGTATAGAGCAGTTATAAAATATTTGTTTTTGAAAGGTAATACGCGTACGCAAATTAAAGTTTAGTTGGACTCTGTATATGGGAATTCTGCACCGTCATTTACCAAAGCGAAATGTAAAGGTGGCCGTAAGAGCTTAGGAGAAGATGAACGTTGGGAAAAACGGAAAAAAGTGTTCGAATGAACGTTTCCAACGCTCTGGTAGCGCAGTTTAGGTGCAATAAATCCCGAGTTTTTGCGCCGATTAACTATTGTAGATGAAACTTGGGTATACCAATATACGAATCAAAAATACAGTCATAACAGTCGACCATGAATGGTGAACCGACTCCGAAAAAAGTAAAAACTGTTTTTTCGGCTGGGAAAGTGATAGCGACTGTTTTTTGGGATAGCCATCTTAATCGATTACTATCAAAAAAGTAAAACCATTACAGAAGCATACTACGCGTCATTACTTGACTATATGAGGACAAAAATTGCGGAAAAACGGCCACATTTGCAAAAAAAACTTCACCAAGACAACGCGCCTCAAACCTCAGCGGTTGCCATGGCGAAAATCCACGACTTACGCTTTGAACTGCTTGACCATCCGCCTTACTCACCAGATCTAACCCCAAACGACTTCTTTTTGTTCCCTTATCTGAAAACTGCACTCGAAGGACAAAGATTTTCGCAGGGAGAAGAAAAAAGAAAAAATGTCTTGTCTCAGTGTTAGTTCGGAAACTTTTCAAGCGACCCTCTAAGTTTACTCCTTTGCAGAGTCAATAATAATGCATCGCGTTCTATGAGACTACATACATACACACAAAAATTGTCCAAAAATAATGCTTTGTCGGCCTCTTATGCACGAAGAAAAGGCGGACCAAAGGTTTAAAACTAACAGGGAAATATTATTAAATACTTCCGTCAGCAGCGGCACTATCGGAAAATAAATTCGCAAATTGGTCGAGAAGTATATCGGCATACCATAAGTCTTTAAACTGTCAAATAAGCACCCTAAACACGGACTAGTCCGCCACACCCCGCAGATTTTTATTAAAATCAAACAATATTCTCATATGGCGGTTTTCGCTTGCAGCCGGCGTGATCATGTGTTTCAACTTCATCTTGACCCTAACCTCACTGAGCCTGGTCCACGACCGCGTGCCCGACCGCGAGGTCTACGGTCCCCTGCCGGACGTCTTTCTGGACAACGTCCCCGCCTACGATTGGGCCCTCGACGTCTCCGAATACATCATCATTTTCTGCGTTAACTCGTGCATGATCGCGATGATCTTCCACAAGCATCGGTTCATAGTGTTTCGACGCATATTCCTCATCATGTCGCTGCTGTACATGTACCGCGCGATAACGATGTACGTCACGGTGTTGTCGTTGTCGAGCAAGACGTATCCGTGCTCGCCGAAATCGAACGAGACGTCGCCGCTGATGATCGCGAAGCGGGTGCTTCATCTGATGAGCGGTTTCGGATTGTCGGTCAACGGCAAGCACACATTTTGCGGTGACTTTATTTACAGCGGACACACAGTGATATTGGTGTTCAGCTATCTGATTATATCGGAATGTAAGTAAACGTGGTAGGGATGGTTGATTCGAACGCGACGCCATTGGGGTGCTCAGCAAATTGAAAAATTAGCTTTGCCAGGTTTACCAGACTTTCGGCAAGCGCGCTTATCGATAAGTAAAATTCTAAATGACACCGCAAAACCACAAGTGAGGACAAGACCAAAAAATTGAAAATTTTAGGAAATATTTGAGTACGTCACTGCATTTGAAAAAAAAAGTGCACTGATAATAGCTTTGTCCGAATCAGAAATTTTCATTAATAAAAAAACATCATTAGCTCACTTTTTTGAATCCAGCCACGCTCAGATTTTTGGATGATTCTAACGACGAAGGTTGGTAGTACCGTTTTTACCTATAAAAATTTCTCAAACATTTTGTCCTATCGAGTTAAGAAATAGGTTTTAATCCCCGATATTTAATCTCCCACACCATTTGGACCCAATCCGATGTTCAGATTTTTCAGGTTGCTGTGAACCCTCGTTCCCCGGTATAAAAATCTCGTAACTTGTAGTTCCAGATTCTCTAGTAAACCATATTTTCAGAAAAGAAAAACAGCAAAATTTGCGCCGCCTGTAAGTTGGCATATTAGATTTTATTGTTGTTTGGAAAACGCTTATTCTGGACATAATTTAATCTGGGAAAAGATTTTAATTGGATCGACATTACAAGAAAACAACTTTCATAGGTGCATAGACTAAACAAGCCTAGACTTCCACTCTAATGCAAAAAAAATTTCCGCGCTATTTTGGATGGAAATTCAGATGTCCCTGCCACGCTGCCAAATTAACTGTAGAATATTCTTTTAAATTTAAAGAGCACGATTCAAATTATCCATAGTTTTACACGAAAATAGTAAGTGCTTTCTCCGTAATGACACGAAACCCGAATTGCCGTACCTATGTAATAAAATAGAAAAACCAATTTTAATATCTGGCGACAACCGAAAAGAAGCAAGGGTATCTGTTCATAGATATAAGAAAGTGACCAATTGCTTTTGAATAGGATTATCCAACGGTGATCATTAACATACAATGCAACAAGGTTATTACCTAAAATTTGGGAATTTAAATTCAAAAGTGTGGTCCGTAATAGAAAATAATTTTATACCTACCTGTGTTTAATATTCTTTGGTTTGTATACTACTTAGTTTAAGTTTATTAGTAATCATTCTTATTTCGTGTGTAATACAGTGTGTGTTGAATCGTGTGCGAATTATGCAAAATATGTGCGAGTCCAGTGTATCTCGGGAGAAAACACTATTCTGTTGAGACTAAGAAAGTTATAAACAATGTTTATTTGACTCCCATTGAACTTGGTGCCAGCAAGCAAGCAATCTTTAGAAGAAACGGCCACATTGACGAAAATTCCAACATCAACTGTATGGAAAATTGTAAATAATCCCATTTCAGCGAGGAAAAAAGAAGCGATCCTGACATTTTCTCGAGTGTAGATGAAAGTGATCAACATATGATACGGCGTAAAATTTACCAGTTATACGAGGAACAAAGCGTGCCTATATTAGATATCTTAATTAGGAGGCTTGAAAAAGATGAAACTGGTGTTAAATGTGACAGAACTACCTTATGGAAGTGCATTCAACACATGGGTTTTAGATTTAAAAAAAAATGACAAAAGGCAAGTTTTAATGGAATCTTTTAGAATTCGGAAATGGCGACTGGAATATCTAGAAAAAAATAGGATTTACAGAGAACAACAAAGGCCAATTATTTACTTGGGTGAAAGCTGGTTCGACACTTATGATACCCCGGAAAAGGGTTGGGTTGACTCAACTGATAAGTGTTAAACAAATGCGCCATCAAAAAGAGGTAAAAGAATAACTATTTTGTATGGTTCTGAAGATTCCAAAAGGACTTTCTCTGTCTGCGAAAAATATTAAAGATTATTCTTTGGATTACCATGAAGATACCACCGCTGATTTATTTGAATGTTGGTTTAAAAACAAACTAGTTCCAAACATTCCTCCTAATAGCGTCATTGTAACCCGTCATTAACCCCTTCCTCACGTGACACAAAAGCAACAATCCAAAATACTACATGTATAATAACGTGATTTATTTTCACGAAGATTATACCAAAAATCAATTAGTTGAGGTTCTACAAAGCTTGAACCTACAAATTGATAATTATAAAAAAAATCTAGGGCATACAGTTTTAATTTAATTAATTAGGGTTACCATTTAATCACATTGAACAACTGAAATCTGCCATTCGTCGTTACAATGTTTTTCCCCGTGTTGACTCCAATGTCCTCAAACTTATAAAAACCGAAGTTTTTAACAACCCTCCACATAGTTGGGCAAATTCTGTTAAACATACATACAGAACAATCTTATATCCATATTGCAAATAATATAGAACAAATAATAATTAAAACAGGCGATGATAGCTATAGTGATACTGATAAATTATGTAAATAATTTTAAGTAATTTAAGTAGGTAATAAAAATAATTTGTAATTTAATTTAAGATTTAAACATAAATACATAAATAAATGAATATTGTTCAGTATATTTCCTAATAAAACCCCAAATAATTAAATTCTAAGCAAAGTACTGACCTGTTCGGCCATATTTCATTCTTACAGCTTGCCCGGGTCTTTCCTTAATTCGTATCAGTTAGTCACTTTCTTATATCTATGAACAGACTTTATCGAACTCGTAGCTTAACGGCTTCTGTAGTCTGGGCCTGTTCTGTCTATGAGAGCAAAAAAAAAATTTGCACCAGAAATTATCCGGTTTTCCAGACACACCGAAAAAAATATTTCTTCTACGAATGGTCCACTGGCTGTACTGGATCCTGGGAGTGATCGGGGTGATAATGTTACAATTGTCGCACGGCCACTACACAGTGGACGTCATAATAGCCTATTACATAACCACCAGAATATTCTGGACTTATCATACCCTGGCCAACAACTCTAACCTCAAAGTGAGTATCGCATCCCCATATGACGGATTTGGGTCTGACACATTTTTCATGTTCGTTACAGCAATTTTCCTCGAATAATTTGTTGAGCCGTTCGTGGTGGTTCGCACTGTTCCTTTACTTCGAAAGTAACGTCGGGGGGCCCATACCCAGGCAATTCGACTGGCCGCTTCCGTGGCCAAGAAGATGGCATTCGAAAAGCCGAGCCACTTAGTGCTAATCTTTTACCACCGCGTAACAAAGACTTGATTAAATTTTTTAATATATGTGATATAAAAATAAATGTTAGCGCCTTAAACCGATTAAACTGAAAATAAGTCGTGCTCTTTACGCGTATTTAACTTGTAATACATTTTACATATATATTATATAGGGAACGAGAGGTTAATACTGCGTTGCTTGTTATTTTTTTATCTTGGAATTTTCCGAATTTCGAGAAGTTTTTTATACTGATATAATATTTTTACTACCCAAAATAGAGAGACGAACGTGTAGTTTGGCGTTTAAGTTTTCTACGTGTAGACGTCTTTTGTAGTAGAATGAAAACAAATCTTCGAAAAAAAAAACATGCGAAACTTTTTCCGTAAAAATAAAAAAAAAACGCATTAGGGAAGGAATTTCATTGTTACGCACATGTGGGCAGAGCCTTCAAATGGAACTGTCAAAAGAAGAACAATTTAAAGGTGATGTATAACTAATGAAATGGCGCGATCTATCATGTGTTCATTCGCTGTCAAAATTTGTGTCGACTCACTCACATTCAACATATTTACTAGTCATCTAGCTATTAGATAATATAGGGGCCATACAACTGATGCACCTCAGGTACATCTTCCCATTGTCTTACAAAAGGGAACGAACTTGCCGCGCATGCGCCAAAATTTCACACATTAACCTGCACTCTGCGCCATTTTCTTTCTAAACAACGATGGCCACACACTTAACTCGTTTTCTTCCGGCAACTTTATTGTGATCTGAGAATACTGAAAACGGCCATGCTGTTTGTTGAACGCGGCAAGCTCCTTTCTCAACATTTTTTGCTGTTGGCTTCAAGAGTGCCGGAATATATCTAGTATCTATATGTTAATCCCATTGCCCAATGCTCGAGGATCAAAGACTTTATGTTGTAGCACATGTTTTTTTTTTATTAATAAATATCTTAAACCTTAGTTAGACTCAAACTTTGGTATCAAATTATGTTTTGAATCACTTGAAAGTGGTACTGGTGAGTTTAGTGTCGCATAGTACCACAAATGAGGGAGTCGACCTCAATTCGCGGAGACATTGCTTGCGATCCTGCCTCGAAACCGTGTTATTTATATATTTTGGAATCTCTTCTAAGTTTTTCTTGGCACTACGAAAATAAATAATAAAAACAATATTTTTCTACGTCATGTAGGCGCAAAATATTTCGCTCTTTGTACTAAAAGTTTTTGTAATAACTGTGTATATCCTTAGACGTAAGTAGATGTAAAATGGCTTGCCTATATTTATTTTTCTCTTGTAAATATTTAACTAATCCTCAATATATTTGTGAACGTCATTTCTTCGGGAACAAGTTGTTTTTCGTATAGCGATTAAGGATAAATAATCGGCTCTGGACGGTGAATTTTTTTACATATTCGTGTTATCGATCGGTGTTAAATTTTAATTTGTTATTGCATTAAACGGGATGCCAGTCATTGTCTTTTTAAATGTTTGATGAGACTGCAAGAGCACGCGTGCGAACGCCTGAGCAAGTAACATTTCCAATCAATTACTGCAAATGGTGCAGTGAAAGCTCGATTATCCCTGACAATCACGAGTGTGCCATAACCAGACAATCGTAACTTACACGGGCAAATGTAAGCTGGGATAATCAAGGTTGAACTGTTGGCGAGGCATGAACCGCATAAACTGTTAATTTGAAAGGTTGATTATTCCAGAAACGGTAGCAAGAGGGGGAAGTGTGATTATTTGTAGTTATCTATGGTAGATATTTATGAATGTTAATTTCATATTGTTAAAATACAGAAATATTTTTCTTTTGTGTTTTTTTTTAATGTACCTATAAGAAAAATCCATTCCCAATTGGACACTTTCGAAGAACTGCAACAGTATATTTGCACCTTCCCAATTACAACTGGATATTTGGCCTTCTACATTATTTAATTGGCCTTTAATTTAATGGGGAGTGCTTTTAATTTGGTTACTTTAAAGGCACAACGTCCAATATAACCCCTAGAGATTTGTTCTGCTATTTCTTCTGAGTGTTCCAGTTGTAGGTTCCCACTTTCCCTTCTTATAGATATCTCGTCTTTTCAACATTCATAGTTCCCTAATCTTCAAGGGTTTCTTTTAGTTTGCGTGCCATATATTCCAGATCTTTATCCCCTGCTATTACTGCCTGATCGTCTGCAAACTGTAGGCTAAATACTGTTCTATCTGTTAGTAAGTCTTCTTTAACATAAATTTGCTTGTGACATACAGCACCCCTGGCGAAGCCCCTTGGTTGCGCAGAAATCTCTGGACCGTTTATTTCCTGTTTTTATTTTTGAAGTAGAATTATTATAAAGGTTTTTGATAGCATTTATTAGAGTTTGATTAATGAAGGTGCCTTGCAATACTTCCCAAACCTTGCTAGTGGGTGTATTATCATAAGCTTTCGAGAGATCAATGTCATTGCACTGTCAATTATCCGTGCATGATGATGGACTCTGCCCCTATTAGATCTCTTAATATCCTTCCATATAATCTGCTAATTGAACTTATAAATGATATCCCCCTGTAATTTTAAGACTGCGTTTTGTGGCTTTTTTTGTAGATATGTATGCCACTTTCCATTGACAGGGAACTTCCTGATCATTCAGGCACTTGTTAAAGATCTGTGTCAACGCTGCCATTAGATTGGCAAGGCCGCTTTTTTAAAAATTCTGAGTATATTCCCTCTGGACCACATGACGTTCCATGTTTCAGTTTGGTAACCGCTGTTCTTACTGTTTTTTCTTCTATTTGTACTTGTTCTTCTTCAATGTTAACTGGCATCTCCACCTAAATCTATTGTCTTCTTGTTTCTGTTAATAGGTCTTTGTAGTTGTGTATCCACTGTTATTCTGCTATATTCTGAAAAGATACTTTTTTAGTGTCTTATGATCTGGATCTATTAATGTATCGCCATGCTACTGTACACCTTCTTCCACCAATATATCTGTCTATTTCCTGGCATTTTGATTTATTTTATTTCGTGTTTCTCCCTTAGCTCTGTTATTATGCTTCTTTGTCTTCTATGGATTTAGTATTTAACCATTTCAGGTACAGTTTCTTTTTCGTGTTTATTAGCTTTTCAATTTCGTCTGAACACCATTGTTTATTGCTTTTTGGCTGTTGTGCTTTGTGTATGCTTCCTATTATGCTGATGTAACTTTCTTCGAAAGACATATTCAAACAGTATTCATCTAGGCGTCTTTAGTATAAGTACTGTGTGCTTTCATTGAGAAGACTGTCCAACTTAAATTTCGGGTAATTTGTGAGACCATCTCCGCCTTCATAATGATTATTTTGATTTTTTAAGGTCGTACTCCATCAGATATGACAAAGAAATAAGAACCAGGGTGATCCAGGCACTAAAAGCAATTCAATGTCTGAACAGAATCCTCTGGAGTAAAAATATATCGAAGCGTAGGAAATACAATTTATATAACACTAATTAAAAGTAACTTAATGTATGGTTTAGAAACTCGGAGAATAACAGAAAAACATAAGAGAATATCAAGAACAAGTGGGACTTCAAGACACAATCATAACTGACATCGAAAGAAAACAACTGATCTAGTACGGCCATGTACAGCGTATGAACGACCACAGATTACCTTAACAAACAATGAATTGGATACCACACCACCGAAAAAAAGAGGACGTCCAAAATGAACATGGCACGAGGGAGTTCGCAAAGCGATGAGCTCGAGAACCTTAGACGAAGGCCAATGGGATGACCGAAGACAATGGAGGCTAGATATCGGACAACGTCGACACACTTTTTAAATCGAAGATACATATATAAAGCCACAATGCAAAAATGACCTTTTAACTTTCTGTCCCTGCAGTAGAGTCAATTGAAAAAAAAATTGTCTTTTACAAAAGACGTCATTCGGCATTACAATTTAAATACGATGAAATGAATTTCATCGTACAATAAAACGATCAAATTTTCAAAGCAACAGGTAGACATTATGATATACTTCTTCACGACCACCTTGCTTACTATCAACAGCGCCATGCACCATTAGCATAAATAACAGATGACGCGAATAAAAGATGACGCGGGATATTGAGGTCAAGTCTGAAGAGATATTAATAATAATAAAATTAATAAAACAAATTTGTGGTGGTGATTTAGTTTTAGTTAACCATTAGAAGGCAATGGACTAATATAATGTTAAATGAATAAGACGAACATTACTAAAACCTGTGCTTTTATAACATATATTAACACCAGAGTGGTTATTGTGGGTGACTTCAATATAAATGTGAATGTTTCATCTAACGCTGTCTCCGAATTTTTAAGTATTATAAATAGTTTTGGATTGAGGTTGACTATTTCCGATAACACTAGAATTGCGCGCTCTTCTGCTACTTGCATTGATAATATAATAACAAACTTGAATGAAGACATTTATGAGGTGGGAGTTCTTGACCCTGGCATGTCAGACCACAGAGGCCAGTTTATTAAACTTAGCATAGGTAGGGCGGATAGTCAGAACTAAAAAAATTAGAACTATTGCCAAATCAGGTATTGTGAATATTAGGAAGTCCTTGGAGGCTGTGGATTGGAATATTTGCCTTGATTCCAACGATGTCAACTTTATGTTTTCATTTATATTGCACAAAGTTCAAGACTTGATCAAACAAAATTGTTCTGTTAACAACATTCCTCATAAAAAATCACCGGTCAACTGGTTTGATAAAGATCTAGTAGCTCTTAGAAACAGAGTGTCAGCTGTTAAAACTCTCAGTAAAGTCTCACAGAACCCTCTTTTTACAGAAGTGTATAAATCTCTAAATAAGGAATATAAACAAAAAATTCAACAAACCAAAAAAGCTGCTTTTGATGGCTTCATCGAAAAATCAACCAATAAAAACAAAGATGTCTGGAAAATCGTTAACTATGAAAGAAATTGTCTTTGGAGATGTGATAAAGAATCTGATTTATCAGCAAACGATCTTAACAGTTTTTTTATTTCTGTCTCGAGTAATATTATAAAGATCTTAACGGTGAATCACAATGTACAGAGTGCATGTGTTGAAGGGATTCTACTGGAGGAAACTACTTTTTTTGTGCATCCGATAACTTGTACGTACCGAGCCGTACTAAGATTAAAAAAATCTTATTCTAGCGATGCTTATGATATCAATAGTGAAGGGACTGGTTGAGTATATTACACTGCCATTAACCATTTTATTTAATAAATGTATTGACACAGGTGTATTTCCGTCGCTGTTTAAGATTTCGAGAGTAGTTCCAATCCATAAGGCAGGTGATATAAATGATGCTAACAAGTACAGGCCGATTTCAATCGTGCATTTGTTCGGAAAAGTTTTTGAGATCTTACTAAAAGATCAGCTAACTTCTTATATTAATAAGATCGAATGTCTTTGTGCTGGTCAGTTTGGATTTAGGGGAAGGTGTTCGACGATCCAAGCAGTGTCTAAAGTTGTGAGTGGGATAGTTGAGGGCCTCGAGGGGGGTGAATTAGTTGGTTTGACCTTGAGTGATCTCTCCAGGGCCTTCGACTGTGTTTCTCACCAGCTTCTTATTAAAAAGCTATACAGATATGGTATACGAGGTCTGCCCTTAGATCTTATAGCGTCCTACTTGCAGGGCCGACAGCAGTTTGTAGAATACCAGGATGACCGTTCATCACTTGAATCAGTAGTAAGCGGGGTGCGCCAGGCCGTCCTGGGCCCGCTACTATTTACAATCTACATAAATGACCTTTATCATTTCTTGGCCCCCAATCAGTGCGTGATGTTTGCCGACGATACATCCTTCACTACATCTGCTAAGAGTATCGAGGAGTTGTCCGTTAGGGTTGGCATGTTGGAGGACAGGGCTAATGCCTGGTTCGAAAATAATTATCTTAAATTAAATTTAGACAAGCCCCAGAGTATTGTGTTTTCCTCCAATTGCTTGGTAAATAGTGGACAGTCCGTCAAGTTGCTTGGCATTAGGATCGATATTAGTCTGAATTGGAAACAACATATCTCAGACCTGAAAAATAGATTGTCCAGCAACATATTCGTTCTTCGACGACTGAGAGGCCTGATAGGAACAAGGACTCTGCTTATGGTCCATTTTTCTTTGTTGCATTCACACTTATGCTATGGCACGGTACTGTGGGGTGATTCCTCAGCTGCTGTGGAGATTTTTAGAATGCAGAAAAGGGCCATGCGAGTCGTTGCTAATATAGGATATAGGGACCATTGTCAACCTTATTTTAAAAAATTCAAAGTGATGCCCCTTCCTTGCATCTATATCTACTACCAGTTATTAGAGATACAGAGAACGAAAGGAAACTTGCCATGCCTATTCAAATCGTTCGGGGGATCTCTCTAGGTTTAGACTGAGGAGGTCTGAGAACAACTCATTGAACCTGAAATTGTATAATGTTTTGCCAGGTACCGTGAAAAAGATGAGCAATAGAAAATTTAAACATACTATTAAAGAATTCCTACGTCATTGTTTTTACTCTCTGCGAGCATACATTGACACTGTCACTGGTCGATACCGATAGTTTTATAGCGCATCGATTGCGCTATAAAATTGTATAGTACTGTCTAATTTTGTTTGTATTAGATGTGTGTTTTTATGTTATTTATTAATTTGATTTTATTGCACTTGAATATCACTTCTGACTTGCTACAATTGTACGTCCCTTTTGTACGAAACGTAGTCAATAAATGAATCTATCTATCTATAGGAAAACTTAAATTAACGCTCTGTATACGAAGTGTTAGTGTTTTCGTTACCATGGAAACATACAAATCGGCTGACGGCTATTACAATATAAAGCAAACCGAGATGTTTGGCTTCAAACATAACGAGTGCGTGGGATTTGAGTCGAGATGGAAAGTAAAAAAGTGTGTCCCTGCAAAAGGAAGAATAGACACTTTATACAATTGCACTGGTTTTTAAGAGTTTCTTCGAGTGCCAGTGCGCAGACCACCAAACAGGAAGGTTCGGAGCAGGGGTGCAACGCAGTCGAGAGAAACAACGTAGAAATACAAAGCGAAGCAAAGGAAACGGTCATAAAAGAGACCGATATGGATAAATTGGCGGGATGGCTCTCCCGTATTTATCCCAGTGTTAGAAAAGAACTCGACTCCGCTAGCAAATCGAGGGCATTCAAAAGATATCCCCCCTTCCAAACCACAAATCGAATAGAGCCTAAATTAGTGCAAGAACTGGAAATTTCTTCCAAAGTGGGAGAAAAGGATAAAAACGTGAGTACTTGCTAACAGAAACAACAAGCGGCTAGCGCTATTCAAAAATTTAGCAGCATATGGAGATGTGCTGTAATTAGTGTCAACAGCAAACAGTGCGTCTGATACTTCGACAATTTGTATCGGATCATTTGGTAAAGCTGCTAAACGCTGATATCAAAACAAACGATTAAGAAAGTTGTGTTATTAACATTACTTACATTTCTCTTCCCTTTGCAAAATGACTTCCCTTTTGCTTAAATCTTCATCGGTAGAGTTTCTATAATGATCGGATATTCTATATATAAAAAAATACACATCACATCACGAACACAACAAATCTTTGGACAAATATCACTTTTCAACGAAACCTAGAAGTATTCCTACCGAGAAAGAATAAATTTAATATTATAGTAACAATGGGTGCAATAATCAGGGAAGTACAGGTGAACAAAATTTGATTCTTTAATACAACAGAAATCAACTGCAAAGACTTTGTTTCCGTTCTATTTGGGCAAATTTTAGTCCTCGCGAAATCGCAAATTTGATTCCAGAAAAATACAATTTCGTGCCTATCTTGGAACCAGACGGGGAACTTAATAGCAACATCCCAAAGTGCCAACCATACGGCTTGGTGCTACCACACGGGTGTGGTTTCGGTTTTTCAGCTTCACAGGTCAGAAAATTTTAATTATAAGATCAGGATGAAATGAAAACTTCGTGAAAACCCGTCTTTTTAGAAATGATAGGTTGGAAGAAACGCCTGTGAGGAAATTCGAGACCGACAGTTGCGCGACTGCCCTAGATTTCCATCCTACCAATTCTGCGATCCTAGCTGCTGGAACTCACATAGGTACGGTCTATTATCTAAATCTTTCCACAGGTAATCTGGGCCTAATAAACCTAGAAACTTTCATTTTACAAAGATACAAAATTTCAAATATACAAATATTTTTAGCAATGACCCATAGACACAAACTAATATCAAAACAATCTCTTAAAATCTCGAAAATATTCCATTGCTCAAAAAAAAAATCGGGCATAATACGAATCTGTTTGGCCAAAGAAATACTACACGACTCGGAAATGCACAAATGCCATTCCGCTCGTAGACAGAGCCAAAAAGTAACAATATGTGCTGGTATTAAAACTTTTAATTTGCATGTTGCCTGCAAAATTTAATATAAGAAACGTAAATGCATTAAAATTTAATTGGTAGAAGAACTACTTGCCTAGTTACCGCAGTAATTCCTTTTAATGTTTATTTTCTATAATTAACCGATAATACGCGTTGGACCAATATTTTAATTTCTTTTTTTTTTTGGCAGGCCAAATATACATGTGGGACATATATAACGAGATGGAGACGCTACTGACCACTTTGGATGGTCACGATGAAGCCATCACTCAAATTTCCTGGGTCAGCGACCTCAACAAATGCATCGTATTGGTCAGTTCGAGTACGGACGGGCTTCTCAAACTATGGAATTTTAATTTGCCTCATTCGAAATTAAACCTGAGGACGCGGTAAATTTGGTTTTTTTAAAAACCGACAACTATATTTCGATAACCCGATTTCAGGTTTAAAATAAAAACGCCTATATTGGGTAAAATTAATCAAACCACCGAAGTTGCCCAAAATTTACTGGGGCGAGATTTGGGCGTCGTGTGTTTCGATTTCTCCACACACGTTCCAGATATATTTGTCGTGGCCATGGAGGGCGGTCTGATAGTACAGTGTTCTCTGTTGGGCGCTACACCCCTTAAAGGTTAGAGAGAGCTTTTTAAAAATATTCACAAAAATTGTCAAAACACTTTAGAACGGAGCGGTAAAGTTTACAATTTTTTTAGTAGCGCCTATAGAAACAGCATTTTGTAGAAAAATTATGGTTTTTATTTAGAGCCGATCCAAATGCAATCTAGATTTAATTTTAGTTGACATTATAAACCATTCTATAAATATTTAGGTAATACTAAAGACGAACCCTTACTCGATCCTGTATACAAGTATTACGAACCACACCAGGGGGAAGTGACTAGGGTCAAATTTTCACCAGACCGCAAGGAGATGTTTCTCACCAACGGCACCGACGGCGAAATCAGAATATATCTACTAGATCAGGTAACCAAAAATAAATATTTTGAATAAATGCCTTTTGGAAAAGTTGTGAACATAATTAAAAATTTAAGTCAACGAACTGATATAGAGATCCTAAATACCGCAAAAATGGTGCCCCTCGGGCGGCTATGGAATTTTCGTACAGAAAGGAATGATCCACAAACTTAGCTCGCTTTTTCCATGGGAATATTTTAACAGGATATTTCCGAAAAAATCCCATGTCCAAAGTTGAAACTGTTGGTTATTGACACGTAGCAAGTTTCGAACTGGCGCATGCGCATATGTGTCTAGTAATATGACTAGATAAGTCAGAAGTGGCAAAGCCAAATATCTAATCACAATAATTTTTTTTTTTGCTAACGACTTAGCGTATACCTCGACTATTTTAGGATGAGCCGGCGCAAATCATCTTCGTTAAGTCTTCTTTGGCCGATGTGGCCTGGATACCCAAGGAAGAAAAATTCTTAGCGGGTTGCGGCTACCAAGTGCCGTTAGAAGTATTCGATATAATCAAAGGGAAAAAGGTTTTCGAAGGCGAAGGTGGCAATGCCGGGGGGAAAATTCTCTCCAGCGTAAGAGTAAACCACAAAAAGTAACTTTAACGACAAAAGTTTAAATCAAACACAAGCAACCGAGGATTTTATTTTTTAGCACCAAACATGTGGCGGTAGGAGGAAATAATGGGCGTCTACAACTATGGAATGTTCAGTGGCAGAACATATGAAGCAACAATAAACCAACTTTTTGCTCTAAGGATATTTGACTCTTCGCAGCCAAAGCCAAAATCCACGGATAAAATAGAAACGCCATTTATATTTCTTCAATAAAAACAATGTAAATAATTTATAACATTATAATATAGCCTCAGATTTACTTTTTATAAAAGTCCTGCGTCGGTTTTTGTTGAGTCGAACTAGCTAACATTTTGCCAATCATCCTGTGGGCTTCTTCAGAGCTTGACTAACTGACTGAAGAAGCGAACAGAATGATTAGCGAAACGTTAGCTAGTTCCACTCAACAAAAACCGACGCAGGAGGAATCCAGAGGGTTTATAAAAAGTATTACAGTAGCCTCTGGAAGTTTCTTTGAAAAATTGACCTAAGATTTCTTTAAAAAGTTTAAAATGCTCTGACCTCCCGTCAAATTTCGTTTACTTTTGGCGGGACCGGGTCCAGAATTCAATTCCAAATGCAACTTCTTCGCCGCATGGTAATCCATATGGTCGGAAAACTCTTTCGACTCGAACCGTTTGTTGCATTCTAGGCACAGCTCGTTCCTGGCGCTGTCTGGAGGCTCCGCACTAGTTTTAAAATACGCCGATAGGGGTCTCGCACCGATTTCCGGGGACTTCTTTCTTTTCTTACCCATCGTCGATTTGCTTTTGACCACGTGGTTCGATAACGTTTTCTCGCTACTTGGCGTTTTGTATATGTGCGCCTCACTCTTAACCATATTCAAGGCGAAATGATAATCCATATGACACTGAAGTTCAGACAGGTCCACTTGTTTTCCACACTCCTCGCAGATCCGGGTCGAAGATGCAGTTTCTGAGGAAGTTTCAAGATCTTCAGAGTCAGTATCTATAACCTTCGATGTATCGAAATCCCGTTTGAGGTTTTCGGAGAAATAATTATGGAAAAATGAGGTCGAGGGAGGTCTCTCGATTTCCGCAACGGGTTCAGTTTCGTTGTGAAATATTTCCGGACTTATCGAGTCCGTCGAACTAGCCGACACATTGGAAGGATTTTCGGAGGGAAAACTTTGATCGAGAATGGATTCCGGATTAACGTCTTCGTAATACACCAAGTTCCGATCTACATCGTCTTCTTCGGTGGAGCAGGACGAGTTTTTATGATCGACGCCAGCGTTCTTAAAGAATGACGTGATTTCCCTGACGTTTTTGGTATCTTCGAAATTAGTCATGTTCAAACCCAAATGAGTCACATGATAGCTGCCGTCCTCTTTGCGACAATTCTTCTTTACAATGTCCACCGCCTTTGCGGCCAACTTTTGCCGATCGTAGGAACCAAAAGGGCAGGACCTCGTGCTCGCCACATTGTTGGATTTGACGATCTGCGAAAAATTAACGCTCAATAATTTAGCTCGGCGATTATTTTCTGAAGAGTCCTTCTGCAGTCTGCCGGATAATTCGTCCGCGAGTTCTCCCAACCAGTGTTCCACGGCGCTTTCCGTGAATAACGCCCCCTTGCCCGGAAAATTTTTGCCGCAACCTATGGACTTTGGAATGAGCCTCACAGTCACCGGTTCCAAATCTATACCGCGAGCGATGTTGTAGAGCCAATGCCTGCCAATTGTTAAAATCCCAACAAACACTTTTTTTATAGATTTTACATTGACAACCGAAACATCTTATCACTTGAAATGATTTGATATTTATTCATGATCAACATTAAATAACCTAATTGAATTCTGTGGACCACTAATGCTTAAGCCATCATAAACAGGAAAAATTGTATAACTTTGTTTTAGAGTCTCTCTAAATCTAAGAAAATTTTTCATTTTAGTTACTTGTACTAAGAAGACATAATAATAATAAAAATTACCGAATCATTAATAAGAGCTTAATGTTTCTGATACTGTTATTTACTCACCGAGAATCAAGAAAAAATTTGCATACATACCCAGTCTTGTTATCAAACAATCCACAGAGCTCTTTCTCTGTAAATCGAACCAACTCGCCCATATTATTGATTCGCAACACTTTTGATAGTGTGGCCCCAAATTTACCGCCCAAACTAGTAATTTTTTTTAGTGGCATATTCTCATACAGCTGGGGTACAGCTCTGTGCGGCAACAAGGTCTGCTTGTTGGGCTTATGCAGTCCGCATACCAATTTGGCTAATATTTTGTTGTGAGCAATGCCAGCTGAACATCTGTAACCCGTTCTTTGGAACACCGCCTCCCTTATTTCCTCAGCAATCATCCCACCCACTGCCAGTTTAAAGAGATCCTCGTCAAATATTCGAGCATGTTTAAGATTGTCCACAAAATCGGCGGTTTCTGAGCCCACAACGAAGGTGTTTTTTAGTTTGTCAACAGTGACTTGGCAATGTTCTTGCACGCGTTTTTCCACCTCTTGGGTAATATCAAGGTAGGCCTCATCGACGGAAGCTCTTTCTAAAAGAGGAGTAAAAGTTTGTAGGACATCTGCTACTCGCTTTCCGGCGTCCCGATATCTATTTGAAAAAAATATAATAGTGTAATTTGTTGTAACAATTCTGTCCCAATATTTTCAAAATTATATTTCGCAGGCACATGTGAATTTATTCATTAATTATTAAAAACCTGGTGCCTAGTTTTGTGTGTTCAAAAACTTTTGATTAATTAAGAGTTGTGCAAAATTTGGTTAATTTTATTTAAAATTATGTTTAAACTTTACTTAATCCTGAAATCATGTTGTCAACTTGTCTCAAGTGCAAAAATGTGTGTTTTTTTTAAAGATATTACAAAAAGTAAAGAAATAAAAAAGTTTCACTGCAAACTGCAAACCTGTTTCGGGAAAGTTTAGATATTACAACATCAGATACTACATGGATAGCCCCCTCCATCATCCCAAAAGTAAAATCACATACTGGAACTTCCAACTTTAAGTGTACCAGAATAGGGTTTCCCTCTGAGAATTAAGAAACATCTATGCCACTAAACAGGAAGTTTTTGAGGCTATATGCAACAAAAGAACCATCCAATTGTATACATGAAGCGCTACCTTACAACAAGTCAAAGAGAGTATTATACAAGAGCTAGAAAAAAGAAAAGCTAAAGGTAAGGTAGATCTACAAATTTGATAAGTAAACAGGGTCTCCAAAATCATCAAAAGTTTGGTGTCTTCTGAGGCTCCAAAAATTAACCAACCACATAAACAACATAAAACAAACCTGCTTAATTGAGATAACATTCTGGTACCCAAATTTAAACTCCACTGTGCTAAAGACTAATGAATGGAAAGTGAGTATTGATATACATAAACCAACAAAACTATTAACAGAAATTTGGTGTAATGAATCAATATTAGGTTACTGTGTGTATTGGAAGGATCGAGCAGATCAAACAGAGGTAGTTCAATCCTGCATTACTGAAAAAAAAACTGTCACAACCTGTGATAAGAATTGTCACTGTGATAACCTAATAACTAATGCAACAGTCTCATCAGTTTACCAGTTATCTATTGCTTTTAATAATCATTATAGTAATAAAATTTATAAGCTATACATTCAACACATTTTAGAGTACAACATCTAATTTGTTATTTTACTGCTTTTTATAAAACAGTGCTAAACATTTACTTTGATGTATCAGCTTTTCCACGCATCTGAGGAACCTTTACAAGTTGGATATCCGGACAAATTTTTTTGGCTTCGTTGCCTCTCATGTGTCTTGTAACTCCCCGATCTCTTGCTGGGTAATTGACTGCTATAATTCTGAAGAATATGATAAATCGAAATCGCTCAAATCGTTATACATTCAATAAGTCTTACCCACCACCTCTCCATTCGTTATACTGCACTACAGCGACCGGTTTACCCTTAAGTCTTGGATTTATTTGCTCTTCCACTTGGCAAAAAAAACAATCCATATCCACAAGAACTACTATTCGGTTCGTGTGAGCCATTTTTAACAGTACCACAAGAAATATATTTGGATTTAACGGTCATAATATAGCAGTCATTTTTTCACATCGAACACCTATTTAAGAACAGATCATTATTTTGTTTATTTTTTGAAACCGGGTCGGTAAACGAAGTGACAGCGACTTGGTAAGATGAACCCGGATCAATCGCCCATGGAAAGCCACTTGGCCAAATAACGTCAGGTCGTGACGTAATAAAGTAGGAATTCACTCGCATTCCAAATAATTTTTTAAGTTGATTTTAATAGCGCCAGATTTTAAAAACTTCTATGCCTTGTTATCTAACAATCTTATATATAAAACGTTAAGAACCCATTCATTGGTACCAACAAATATGTTAATTACTTTTACAGTTCTTACCAGTAAATAAAACAATAGCGATATAGCTAATAGAATCGGAAATCAGAGGTTGTATCAAAATCTCACTTCAGCGCAAACATGTATTAGAAGATAAGATGATAAAAAAACTCTCACATAGGCATATCTGCGGTAACGTTTAGACGAAATAAATAGGTAGCTTAAACATGATAATCGCTGCAGCAATTGTGTTGGCGGCAGTATTTCAAAAAGTAGGCAAATTATTTTCGAAGATTTTAAAAAAACAACAGATATTAATTTTCAGGGCTTCTCTACAGATGACGTAACAAAAGATGAAGTGAAAGAACTATACGCAAATTTTTTAACGACATTGAACCAAACGGCAAACGAAACTTTAGCAGACATTGAGCAAAACGTCTTGGAGTTCGAGGACAATGTATTCCAAGCCTTGTACTACGCGAAGTATTACCTTATGACCGAAAAAGATGTCTACAATTTTGACGACTTCGAGCGAATTATGAGAAAAGCTCAGGAACAAGGTAGATACTTATAATTACCCAAAAATATAGATTGAAACGTTAATATTTTTAGGCACAAACTTTAGTCACTGTTCACCACTTATTACCGAGTTTTTAAACTTAGACACTCTGCTTTGGCCTAACCTTACCAGCTGCATAAATTCCACCAGTGATGAAGCGGAAGCTCTAATTAAAATCTACAAGGCCAATTATTCATCTACAATCGAAAATCTACCGGTTTTAGATGATGACATAGATAAATGTTCGGATCAGGAATGCCTGCAGAGTTTGCTAGACCAAATTACGGAACTCGGCGAAAGTATACCGGCCCAAATTTTAGAATTAAGATCCAACATTGAAGCTGTAAATATTCAGTATTCGAACGAGATTAATACGTGCGTCGCGAATGCCAGAATAGACTTGTCAGTTCGAGCAAGGATCATTATGAGCGAATACGCTATCTGTACGGGAGTTGAAACATTCAAAAATTTGTACACCAAGATACATTTGAACAATAGAGATTAATAAACAGAGAAACTGTTGCATTTTATTTTTATATTCTCTAATGCTTATAGGGTTTTCTAAGTTTTAGTTTGTTCAGAGGTGTATAATACAGATTAATGAAACTTTTAATCTGAGGAGCATAGACCTGATAGGTCATTTCATATTATATGACCTGTTAATGACTTTTAGGCCTATTAAAAGTTTGATAGAAAGTAAACAGTTACTTTACTTTTCTTCATCGGCAGTAGAATCTCCAAAATGAACAAACATTTAACATTCAAAATTAGCGGAGCGGCAATCAAATGAACAAATAAAATAAATAAATAAATAGAAGCACGCTTTTCAGAGCAGTTTTTATTAACGACGCCTTGTGTAGACGAGACGAAAACTGAGATTCTAAATAATATTTATAAAATATATAAATAATGACTAAATGACATTTACACACTATATTGTTAGGTGTGGAATAAGACGGTAATAGAGGTGCAACCATAGAGCTACTAGAAATATGGAGATCTTGCCTATGCCGATAATACAGGTATGAAGCAACTATCAAACAATTTTTGAGAAGGTCCTTTCAACATGCGCATTCCAACGATCTTGCGGCATTCAACAACCAACCAATTTTTAATGTGGTAGGGCTATTTAATAGCTATATGAGTGTAAGTACACGTGTTTTCTAAGCGAATGTCAATAACTAAGGGGTGATTTTTGGGTCCATTTTAAAAAGAAACCATCATACGAACATATGTCCTAAATGTCTTAATTTTTAAGATAGAGGATCGTAAAGTTTTCAAAAATAAAACATAATTTTTTAATATCTGCATACCGCTTTACATATTTTAATAGAATTTGGCACACATGTACTATATATTAATACGCATTATTTAGTATACCACTTTTTTTTTTAAATACACCAATACAGAATTTCACCTCTCTGTTTTGGCATACATTGATGGTACGTCACTGATTTCCCCTAAAATAAAAATTATTCTTACAATCTCCAATCATTTCTAAAAAAAATTAATTTCTTGATTTGTTTCAACACGATGTGAAAAAATAAGGGATCAAATATGCTCATAAATAAATGCAAATGTCATTATTTCTGACTGTCTTGGTTCATTAGGTCGCCACTGTACTGGTTAAATCGAGAATTTTTTTGTGAAAAAAAAATAGAAGACTGTTCTTTTTACTTTTACAGTTTTAATTAAATAAAATAATATTAATAATAACATACTAACAACAAGATAAATAATAAACGATTCTTATTTGATTATTAATAAAAATAGAACATAGAAACTAGATAAGTTGTTGAAAGTGTCCTCCACCTTGAAGGATACACTCTTCAGCTCTATCGCCGGGCACTCTTTAAAGTATACCTCCCGTATTTGTTGTTACACTACAGGAAACTCTTATGCGATCCTTCAGCTCTTTTACAGTGTTATCTGGGGTGCGATAAACCAGCCTTTAAGATGCCCCCATAAGAAAAGGTCCAAACTTTTTAAATATGGGAACCTAGGGGGCAATGGTTGGGGCCCGCCGCGACCTACCTATCGGTTATTAAATGTCAGCAGTCACTAAAGTCAGCAGGCGCGTCGCCATGCATGAACCACATTCTGTTCCTAACTAACTAAACTAAAAATGGTACTTCTTCTAGCAATATTGGCAAGCCCTTTTGTAAAATCCGGCGATAATTATGGCCAGTTAGTCTTTCTGGTGGGAAAAAGGGTCCAATCAAGCAAGGTCCAAAAATTGCGGCCCAGACATTTACCGAAAACTGTTCTTGATGTTTAAATTCTACAACTGCATGAGGATTTTCATAGACCCAAATATGATTATTGTGAAAATTTCTGACTGCATTTCTGGAGAAGTTAGCTTCATCTGCAAATAGTATTTCTTGGGCAAGCAAAAATTGACATTGACAAAAATTAACACTCAAGGGAAAGTCTGTGGGATGTAATGCTTGGACTGGTTGAATATTTTCATCAATAGAATTTGATACTGCTTTTTCAATTTCTGGAGTTCTTACATTCCGATGGGCATATTTTAAATGATTATTTCCCCTCAATGTACCTGTTTCAGTTAACCTTCTCTGTATATTTGAAAATGTTCACCTATCTGGTATGACTCTATTAGGAAAGTGCTTTAGACATAATCGCCTACCTTCCGTCGCTCTGGCATCAGCCAAACCATAAATATTGACATTCAATTAGAAAACACCCTGTATAAAATGCGATATTATGAATTTTGAATTTAGATTGTTTGAGCGTTGTTTAAGTGTCTCTTTGATTAGATAAAAACACTTAGATATTTTCATACACATTTCTGCATCATTCACGATGATGCTTTACGTACTACTGGGCTCCATGATCCTTGCGCAGGTAAGTTTGTGATGTTTATATTGTTACAATATCACAGCTCTCAAGTTTTCTACTTGAAACAAGAGCATTCTATTGGGACACCACGATGTTTTCCAATCGACACTTGTGATATCAATTATGTCAACCTTTCAACAGATCTGTGGTGCAGATGATAAGATAACCAAGGAAGAATTAGTGCAGTTGTATAATGACGCTATCGCTACCCTTAACGCAACCGTGGACATCAATCTTCAAAACGTTCAAAACGATTCGGATTTTGTAGGAAATCACGTTAACGTGACGTTGAAAGGTTTAGACGACCGTTTCGACGCATCAATTGGCCCATTGCGGGAAAAATTAGAGGATATCATGGAGGTTGCCGAGAATCAAGGTTCCCATTCGCAATTTTCAAGAAAAACTAAAACAGCGGTGAGTTTTAGGTACAAATTTCGATCGTTGTCAAATATTCGTCGAGGAGATCGAGGATCTTCCATCCGGCGTGGTACCCGAGACCACTGAATGCATCGACGACCTATGGGAAAAAGCGGACCTTTACTTTAATCAAACTTTGCAAAACGTCGTGTATAATTCTTACGAATTTCCCGATTTTCGTGATGTCATTGACGACTGCAACAACGACACTTGCATAGCATATTGGCAAGGAGCCATAGAGAATTACAACAGAACTTTGTTGTTGGAAATTAACTCGTTCACGGACGACGCTGACCGAAGGGCTGGCGACGTGTACAATCAAGTGATCGAGTGCGTTGAAGCGAGAGAGCAAAATATCAACGTCAAAGCCGGGATTTACTTGGACGAATATGCCGTGTGCGCGGGGGTCGAAACTTTAATATAGTTTTGCGTGAGTTAGAGCTGCCACTATACCGTAAATAGGATGACTTTGAACAAAGTTGATGTTTATAATTACCAATTAACTAACCAATAAAATCTTTCTAAATTGTATATGGTCAATTCGTGTTACTTTTATTTTTCTCATCAATGATAATGTTTTAACAATCAGAATGTGCGATTCTGCGAAAACACCTGCTTTCTAAGTCGATATGCAGAGTGTTCATTCAAAGAAGAAATTTTATATCAACGTGGGTCCTAAATGTGAGGGTGATCAAATTTTAGGGAAAAATCTTTTTATATTATCCGGCGATTCTATGTATCATTGTGAAATTTGGAAAATGCATTTTGTCCATCGACAAGCATTTGTTGGTACCAGTGGCGTCCGTTGGCGATTTGTATCGCATATTTGAAAAAAAAGTGATTATTTTTTCTTGTCAGATGTAGGGTTCATGAATGAAATACTTAAATTAACAGTGTGTCGCTAAACCGACTAATCATTTTTAACGATACGTTAGTCTGGAATAACTTAAAATTTGTAAACGTAATTTTCAAATCCTCTTAAGTTTAATACGTTTTTGACATTGTTTTTTGTCATTTCTCGTTCCAATGTGTATATGAGTACATAAGAAAGTTGTTTGGGTTTTACCTTAGAATCGTACTGTTACTATTATTATTACTATTGCGGCTTTCGTCGATAAAATACTTTGTATAATTCTCTCTCCTCTACCTCTCTTAAATTTGTTTAATCTTTGGACACGCACACGCTCATAGGGTTCATGGTTTTGACTGGTAGGTTTAAGTTTCCCTTAAAATAAGTTTCCATGGTTTTTGATGTCAAAAAGAAATTTAAAATTGAAATAATATTATTACAAGTGGGTTGTGTGTCATATTTGCCCATTTCTATAATTGATTTGTTCATGAAGCAACCACCGGTATTCAACTGAGACCCGCAGACTTGCACCTTAATGTCCCCACCAGTGAGAAGCTCATTCTTCCGTACCTTTCACCTTCTTTTCGTTTGTCCATCGGTGGATTGCGACTATACGAGCAGTTCTTTACACGTCCAAAGAGGTGCGTCAGACTTTGGGTACGGTGATATATCGACGAGTATATTTTTGCTACTAAGACGCGCGTGGAATACCAGATCTGTGTTTTGTGGTGGACTTTTCGCTGGGCGTAATATGTGCACGTAGTTCTTCATTGGACAAATATTTGGTGGTTGTTGGATAGCATTGCAAGATGATCGAGGTAAGTGCAGGATGCTCGTCCGAATGAATACCTTGTAAAATAGAGGACATAGGATGTTCCTGTTAGCTAGATACTGACATATGTGAAAATAAAACATTTCCCTAACTCGACGGAAATCTTTAACTAGTGGCAATCTTTCGTTCTTCCAGAATGAAAAAGCAGTTTTAACACTAACCTCATACAACTTTTTTTTTACAGATATCGCGATATAATTGTTTTGAAATATATATCAACCAGTGTTCAGTATTGTATTGGTGTTAAAAAATAGGCAAAAGCAACTTCATACGCAACTTTGAACGGAAAATTAACAAAAAAATGTTCCACTTTTACTTAGTGCAATTATGATAAACGCGCCCACATACTGATGTTTCACTGGCTAAAATATATCTACCGACTATTCAATACAATATTTTATGGTTCTTATACTCGCCTTTGGATTAAAATATCAGTACCATTCGAACAAAAATATGCTTTCTATTTGATATTAATACAACAGATACAATATTTGGATACGATAAAACATTTTAATATATGATTTACACTGAGTTGTTTATAACCACAGTTATAAAATAACAAAACAGTTAAATAGTTTATCCAAGAAACTTGTAGATAATAAACCCTTGTTGCCAGATGCTGTTATAGAAGCGACCTTCAATTAAAATAATCAGATTTTTAGATTTGTCCAAAAATAATTTCTTAAAAATACGGATTAATCTTTTATGTGACAAGGCCGTACATTGTCAAAATCGATTACTGAATTATTGATTGAGATTATTAACTATTATTGTATGAATATTTTATTGTAGTTTTGTTGTGTATTTGTAACTTTTTCATAGTCGTCCTTACTGAATAACAATTAACTTAATTGTCTCGAAATCTTGTATCATTTCGGTAGCATAATCTCACGATAATTCCGTAGCGAAATGTAAGTAGCAAGATCAATTGGTGGACAATTGCTCAGAGATTTTTTCCAGCACACATTAAACAATACGTTTCCCTGGCTTTGTGGTTCATAGACAATAGAGAAAACTGAATCGCATAAAAACTTCCTGTGATGTAAGAGAAGAAATTCCCAAAACGTTCTTCAATCAAAAATGACATTTTAGTAATGGCTTCTTCTGGGTGGTCCAGTAAGAGCGACCAGATATGGTATTATCGGGCGGTATTATAAATTTGAACAAAAAAAATTATTAAGTAAATCTGATAAAATACTGGAAATCATTATCGAATATCTGGGAGCGTAATAGCTATCTTGATTTTTAACTCGCGTTCTACAAAAATTTATAATATAGTAATAGTAAAAATAAGTCTTTTAAAACTGAGAGCAATTCAACTTTTTTGTAGTGCTGTTACTCTATCTCTATAAAAAAAAAGTGGTGTTTTCTTTTTCTAAGAAATAAATGTTGATAAAGCCATAACGCATTTTAACTGAAATAAATCTTCGAGATACAACGGTGTTTACTGGCTGTCAAACGTACAATGGGTAAAACGATTGCTTACCTTGCCTCTAGGTAATTAGATGGTCAAATATGAAAAAAAGAACTTATCACACAAAAAAGTTGAATTTTGGACAACGTTTCCACTAGGAATATATGTATAATAAAGTAAAAAGTTATATGGTTGCATTTGTTCTTTTGTGAATATACCTCGTTGCACTTATTGGTATATGTTTTTCGCAACTGAAAAATTGCGTTCGGAAAGTAAAATCTGTTTTATAAGCTATGCGCAAATTACAGCTTAAAGCAGTGACAAAAAGAACAACTCAGTTCAATGTGTAATTAGCGTATATATAATACAACGAATTAGGTAAATCTACGAATAATCAAAAACAGAAAGCTGGAAACTATGCAAAATTCGCGTTAGCCGATTTCGCAATTATATCCATTGCCAGCCCGTTTTTTGACAACACGCCGACCGCAATTAACGTTTAATATGGATCTAGTACCTAATTGCTTAGCATAATTTCGCGGCTGTGTACACTAATTGATATTTTTTACATCTCGTTTGTCCAAGAATGCGGTATCAATCATCAAAACGTAGAAAAAGTGCCGACCCGCCTTGAATTAAAGTGCCAATTGCCCTACAAACAGATGCTTATCAAAAATGCGGTCCACGTATTGGCTAGTAATTATTGCACGTAATAATTCAAGAATGGAATATTCATGCGACACCTCCGGCGACAATGGAGGCTGTCGCAATACCTTTTTCGTGTAGATACCGCAATTCCAGCCCATTGTTTTGACAGCGTGCTCGATAATGATGTGTCTCAATTTGTCATGGAAGAAAGTCGAAACGTAAAAATTTAAACCGCAAAATAATCTAAGCAATACGCTAACAAATGCAATGTGAGATTTAGAACCTGATAACGGCTAGCACAAACATTTTGCAATAAATCGCCTTGAGAAGAACCAACATATCCTTAATTAATTAGTCGAGACTTTTTGAGAAATTTCTAGTAAATAAATTAACTCGACTGTATCCATTATTCTGTCGCCAACACCTCGCGTTGGCGCCTACAAATAATAAAAAATGGACAACGTCGCACATATAAGGGGTAATATGGAGACAGCAACTTTTTAAACCCACGTTTTTCTCACTTTTTTTTATATAAAGATGCATTGCTGGCACGTTGTTGATCAGCGGTTTGAAGTGTTGATACCCATATAAACATCAAAAACATAGGATATTTATTATGGGAGGATAACACTTTACCTCAGAATGCGTGAAAAATATAACAAAAAAATCTCAGTCAATTTCAGTCAAAAGTGATGTTTGCAAGTCTAAATATATCTGGCAATTTCTCCGACTAAAACTATATTATATATATATATATATATATGGGATATATTTTTGTGGAAAAATTTTCAAAAATCGTTAACGGTAATTGTTTGAAACAGAAGCACCCTTTTTTTATAATTTCATCGTTTAAATGCTTCTCTGTCCCTTGTAACATGAATTAGTTATTCTACTTCATTACCATCGATTCTTCCTTGTATGCTGTAATACGTATTTTTCATTTCGAAGTAAATGCCTAAAGTAAGATGTTTTTCGAACTTTAACTATGGTCATGAGTTTTCTTCCATATCCCATACTTCTTAATACTTCTGCCTTGGTAATTTTTGCTGTCTAAGGGATCCTAAATATTCCTCGATAGAGCACATTTCGAATGCTTCCATTGTTTTTATCGTCTGAGCTTTACCCCAGCAACAAAGATCAGACGTAGCATTCTAAAAATTTTAGTTTTATTGACATGTTCAGACTTCTATTAGTAAGCATTGTCGCATGTTTTATGAACCCTTTTTTAGAAATTTCATTCCCAATTTTCACTTCCTCATCTTTGTTTAATTTTGAGAAACATTGTGGCAGATATTTATATTTATTGACTCATTCCACGTCATTTCCATCAAGAATCACTGGTGTATTGACTATTCGTTTGGTTTATTTTTTTAATGTTGATTGATCGCCTCCGATTTTCATCCCTCACTTTTGTTCTAGAGAGCTCTCGGAACGTTCCTTCCTTCCTTCTATGTTATCAATAAACAATGGTTTTATGTATTGTTCCCAAGTCGTCTTTTTGTCGTGTTTTTTTTGTCTATAATACATCCTGAGCGTTTTTTGTTACTAATGGTATCTTCCTTCTTGATTTACCAATTATTCGATATTTTCCACCTATTTCTCCTTTGATTTTTTGATTTCATGCTCTAATTTTTTCTAAGATGACCCTGTTCGTGTTTTTACATTTCCCTTTTTTCTTCGAAGTGTAATTATTTCCATAGACATTCAATATTTCTTTGCCTTTTGCTCTTGCTTCCCGACAATTTGTTCTCCAGCCCTTAGAAGCGTCGTTCTCATATCTTCCCAGACATTGTCGGTGTCGTTTGTTGTAGCTTTTTTGGATGTTTTTCCGGCACTTAAAGGGCTTATGCACCCCAGCTGGTTCACTCAGTTTGCGATTTCTTTCTTAAACTCTGAGACTGGTATCCACTTAGAAGAAGATTGCCTAGACAACTCTCAAGTTACTTGCAGCTTACTAGCTTGTTAGAGCAAATTAGTTGTTCAAAATTTTAAGCCGTACTCTGAAATACGGAAGTAATTGTGAGAATTTCGGTTATTTAGTGGGAATAAATTTCGTTTTGGAAAATCCTCTTCGCTCCACTGGCCATTTTTAATACATCGTTCTCTGTTTCATATGCTTTCGAGGCATTTTTGTCAGCAATTTTCTTAGATTTTTCGTGAATACGTTGTATATATTTTCTTAATATTCTTTTGTCACTTTCCTGTTTTTGTATTTGTGTTTTTAATTAAATATATGTCTCAACCGCAACTGCCACTTGCCTCAATAGATTTCAAAATTTCAAAAATATTTAGAATACAGTGTAGATACCCAACAACCGGCAGCTAATGGCACTATTCCTTACTCAGGAAGCAATGACAGCCAACATAAATATGGAGTCCCAATTGCGGTATTCCATGAAATTAATGACTCTGTAATAAACTTTACCCCTATATCAGACCAAAACATGCCGCTTCACGTTCAAGCGAATCATCAAACTAAACATAATCCAAACGTATTCTCCTACAGCAGACAAATCTGATGAAGAAATTGAAGAATATTACAATGAACTTAATAATATTAGAGAATCCTTTAAATATAGGGACATAACACTAGTATTAGGAGATTTGAACGCCAAAATTGGCAAAGGAAAATTTTACAAACTTGTGGGAGAATATGGATTTGGAGAGAGAAACGAAAGAGGAGAGCTACTGTTACGATTTTGCCATTTTTTTATTTTTATTTTTATAATATCGCATACGTTCTTTAAAATTCCAAACCGTCGTTTGTGAACCTGGAAATCTCCACAAGACAACAAACAAAATATAGTTAGAAACCAACAGATATAAAAATGGGGTCAAATGGGTAAAGACCTGCCCAGGGACCGACGTGTCATCATTTAACAAAAAAGAAAGCAGATAAAAAACAAGAATAGATGACTATAAAG